GAAATTGCTGACAGCCTAGATATGGACTCCTGCATAAACGCCATCCGCCGTTTTGTATGTAGGAGAGGTCAAGTTACCACCATGAGGTCAGACAATGGCACAAATTTTGTGGCGGCTGAACGAGAGCTAAGGGAAGCCATCCAACAGTTGGATAATGAAAGGATTGAGAGAGTCCTACAACCAAAGGGGATAAAGTGGATATTCAACAGCCCAGCTGCTTCTCATCAAGGTGGGGTTTGGGAGAGGCAAATTCGCACTGCACGAAGAATCCTCAATTCCCTACTGAAAGATCAGTCAGTCAACGACGACGGCCTACATACAGTAATGTGTGAAGTTGAGAGTATAATCAATGGTAGGCCGCTCACAAGTGTTTCAGACGATACCAATGATATTGAGCCTTTAACCCCGAACCATTTGCTACTTCTGAAGGCCCAACCAAACCTGCCTCCAGGTGTTTTCAGCAAAGATGACATCTATACCAGAAGAAGGTGGAAGCAAGTCCAATATCTTGCAGACTTATTCTGGGCTTGTTGGACACGCGAGTATCTTCCACTTCTTCAGGAGCGACAGAAATGGCTGAAGCCTAGAAGAAACCTCATGGCAGGCGATGTAGTGCTTTTGGTGGACAGTTCCTCCCCCCGCAACTCCTGGGTCATGGGAAGAGTAGTTGAAACATTGCCAGACTCAAGTGGAACAGTGAGAAGAGTAAAGTTGAAGACCAGTACCAGCACACTGGAGCGACCTGTGAACAAGCTATGCCTGCTTCAGGAAGCTATGCCAGAGGACTATTGAAGAAGACAAGTTGATATGTGGACATTCTTTTATTTGAAGATTTGGCTCTTGGTGTTTTAAGTTTATAATTGCTTAGTTTTCCAACTTAACCAATTAGGGGCCGGGTAATGTAAGAGCCAGTTAATGGGGAGTTCATATAGAATAATAATTTAGATTAAAAATGTATAAATATGCTTAATTTACTTTTAAGAAATTCATGATGAGTATATGTTCTAGAATGTATAACTTAGTTAATACAAAAGGATACTTTTATTGTGAAAAGTAATTTTGCTTCCACTACGTAATGCGTAACATTAATATTTTTCTAGTATTTACGTTTGAGTTCAGATTGCAGTTGGATACGGTGGAAGCAGCACAATTTTTTGACCGATCTGTACCGAGCCTTTTCACTTTTTTCTGTAAGTGTACTTTTTTGAGTTCTTCAAGTAAACATCATAAAAGAAGACTTGGTTTCAGTCGAGTGATTCAAATATTGGCTGTTAGACAAACTGCAAAGGTGGTACAACGAACTTTTGGGAAACAGAGTGCCACTACATATCTATCTATCTATCTATCTATCTATCTATCTATCTATCTATCTATCTATCTATCTATCTATCTATCTATCTATCTATCTATCTATCTATCTATCTATCTATCTATCTATCTATCTATCTATCCATCCATCCATCCATCCATCCATCCATCCATCCATCCATCCATCCATCCATCCATCCATCCATCCATCCATCCATCCATCCATCCATCCATCCATCCATCCATCCATCCATCCATCCATCCATCCATCCATCCATCCATCTATCTATCTATCTATCTATCTATCTATCTATCTATCTATCTATCTATCATCTATCCATCCATCCATCCATCCATCCATCCATCTATCCATCCATCCATCCATCTATCTATCTATCTATCTATCTATCTATCTATCTATCTATCTATCTATCTATCTATCTATCTATCTATCTATCTATCTATCTATCTATCTATCTATCTATCTACACTATATTGCCAAAAGTATTTGCTCACCCATCCAAATTATTGGAATCAGGTGTTCCAATCACTTCCATGGCCACAGGTGTATAAATTCAAGCACCTAGGCATGCAGACTGTTTTTACAAACATTTGTGAAAGAATGGGTCGCTCTCAGGAGCTCAGTGAATTCCAGCGTGGAACTGTGATAGGATGCCACCTGTGCAACAAATCCAGTCGTGAAATTTCCTCGCTCCTAAATATTCCACAGTCAACTGTCAGCTGTATTATAAGAAAATGGAAGTGTTTGGGAACGACAGCAACTCAGCCACGAAGTGGTAGGCCACGTAAACTGACGGAGCGGGGTCAGCGGATGCTGACGCGCATAGTGCGAAGAGGTCGCCAACTTTCTGCAGAGTCAATCACTACAGACCTCCAAACTTCATGTGGCCTTCAGATTAGCTCAAGAACAGTGCGCAGAGAGCTTCATGGAATGGGTTTCCATGGTCGAGCAGCTGCATCCAAGCCATACATCACCAAGTGCAATGCAAAGCGTCGGATGCGGTGGTGTAAAGCACGCCGCCACTGGACTCTAGAGCAGTGGAGACGCGTTCTCTGGAGTGACGAATCGCGCTTCTCCATCTGGCAATCTGATGGACGGGTCTGGGTTTGGCGGTTGCCAGGAGAACGGTACTTGTCTGACTGCATTGTGCCAAGTGTAAAGTTTGGTGGAGGGGGGATTATGGTGTGGGGTTGTTTTTTAGGAGCTGGGCTTGGCCCCTTAGTTCCAGTGAAAGGAACTCTGAATGCTTCAGCATACCAAGACATTTTGGACAATTCCATGCTCCCAACTTTGTGGGAACAGTTTGGAGCTGGCCCCTTCCTCTTCCAACATGACTGTGCACCAGTGCACAAAGCAAGGTCCATAAAGACATGGATGACAGAGTCTGGTGTGGATGAACTTGACTGGCCTGCACAGAGTCCTGACCTCAACCCGATAGAACACCTTTGGGATGAATTAGAGCGGAGACTGAGAGCCAGGCCTTCTCGTCCAACATCAGTGTGCAACCTCACAAATGCGCTTCTGGAAGAATGGTCAAAAATTCCCATAAACACACTCCTAAACCTTGTGGACAGCCTTCCCAGAAGAGTTGAAGCTGTTCTAGCTGCAAAGGGTGGACCGACGTCATATTGAACCCTATGGATTAGGAACGGGATGTCACTTAAGCTCATATGTGAGTCAAGGCAGGTGAGCAAATACTTTTGGCAATATAGTGTATCTATCTATCTATCTATCTATCTATCTATCTATCTATCTATCTATCTATCTATCTATCTATCTATCTATCTATCTATCTATCTATCTATCTATCTATCTATCTATCTATACTCTGTGTGTGACATAAAACATGGATCTCCATCCCTGCCACAAAGGCCATCAAATAAGGTTTAAAATAAAAAAATACAGTAGGTTGAAAAGGCATCCATCCATCCATATTTCTCCATTTCTCCATATAGGCTATCATTTGATTGTTCACGCTCTCCATAGTTCTCCTGTGGTGCAAGCACAGGGCGACTGTTACGCTCCTTTAGCGAGCATGCGCGTTTCCTGTCGCTTGCGCGGTGAATCGTGTCGCCTGCGCTGTGCGGAGATGCAGGGGAAACCGTATGTGATGGGGAAACGCAGCTCGACGTAACACCGGTATTTCCATCAGGAAAACGCTGTTTTGCTGATGGAGTCCTCCTCACTCTCCATCTCTCTGTGTGTGCTGGATGTTAACACCCGCCAGCAGAAACACCCACCTACCCAACTGACAGACGGAATCTCACTATACATCAGCCAATCTCATCCTCCCCTCTCTCATGACAAGGCGCGCACGAGTCCTATCATGAAAAAAAGGTTCATTGTGCGACAGTAACGGGGTGTCTGCAATGGTTACTGCGTTATAGTTACAGTCAAAGTAATTAGTTAGATTACTCGTTACTAAAACAAGGTAATGGCGTTAGTAACGCTGTTACTTTCAACGCCGTTATTCCCATCACTGGTAAAATAAATGGAAAAAAAGCAAACTTATTGTCATGATTTTATCTAAAGCTCGGACCCATATGCAGAGAAACCAATTCAGAGAGACCAGGGGAAAGGTTTAACGGGTTTTATTGAAGAGATCGAGCATGGTGCTGCTTGCTCTGAACTCTGCTCTGCCGGAACTGTAAGGTGAGGCGAAGACACAATGATTAGTTCAGGCTCAGTGGGAAATTTCATTCGTGGATTTGAAGAGGATCTGGTTGTGACACGTTTCCTGAGAAGATGAAGAATCTTTGACTCCAAACTGAGAAACTAGGAATAGCATTTGTAGTACCAGAATTCAATATAAAAATAGGAAAACGAATTACAGATGGATTATCAGTATACACAGGAGAAATGTTGGCAATATTATTAGCTTTACAATGGGTAGAAGACATAAAACCATTAAAAACAATAATATGTTCAGATTCAAGCTCTGCATTGTTAAGTTAAAAAAATAACCAAACAGATAGTAGGATGGACATTGTATTAGTTTTATAGTTAAAATAAGTAAATCAGAAGGAAAGAGTATTATTAAAGAGAAACTAATGGAAGTTTGGCAAAAAAGGTGGGATGAAGATAAAACAGGAAGATGGTTTAATAAAATTCAGAAGATGGTAGGAGAAAGAAGAAATGGAAGAAGAAATAGAAAGGAGGAAAGAGTGATAACAAGGTTAAGATTTGGTCATGCAGGACTTAATTATACACTTTTTAAAATACAAAAACATAAAACGGGCAAATGTGATTTCTGTGATAAATATGAAACCATGAAACCATAGAACATGTTATATTAGAATGTCATAAATATGAAAGAGAGAGAAGATATATGAGAAGAGAGTTTGAAGACATTAAGGAGAAGGTTAATTTATTAGATATACTGAGGAAAAATTTAGGGAGTAAACACATACAAATAATTATTCGATTTCTAAAGAAAACGAAATTATTTAATAGAATTTAATTATAGTAAGTGTGTTTGTGAGTGAAGGAATGATATACAAAGCTGTGCACAAATATGTATATATTTTTAAGTGTGAATGTGTGAATGTATGTTTTGAAGAAGTTAGGGTAGAATGTATCAGGATCAATATTTAAACCATCACGAACCACACTCCATACCAGAAGAAGAAGAAGTTAGAATTGTCCCATGCTCCTGAATGCACCCTAGCTATCTGACGCTCGTGAATGCATCACACTGGTCTGTGAACGCTGTGCTGTGAAGATGCACGTTTGATTTTCCGCTTCAGACAAAGCTTTGCAGTTTCCAGGCTCGCGTCATCATCACTGTTTATTGTTGTGTGTGAATAACAAGAGACTACAACAGATAACTCAGCCGAACCTCGGACAAAATCTTTGGAGTTAATGTTGTTCAAGGGGTGCATTTTTGGGCATAACACCGCCTTCCTTCGGATGAGCGTCCATCTGGAGCGGAAGAAGATCAAATGTTGCGTCTTCTTGCTGATGAAGGTCAGTGTTTCTCTGGGTCTTTGCTGAACTGGAGCCTTTTCCGAACTTCCTCCGGCTGCTTCCAGCTGACAGCCTGCTCTGCTGCAGACTCTAACCTGCCTGCTGCCTTCCTCTGATTCCTGAGTCTCAGCATGGATGCAGACTGCTGCTCCTCTCCCTCACAGCCACAATGCATTTAGACAGACAGACCCTGGATGCAACTTCCAGCTGCTTTATTCATCCTGCAGATATTCCCACATGGGTCCAGATAACCATAACTAAATGGTTGTGAAGGTCCAGTCTTCCCTGAGTCTAACTGTTCTGATCTGGACAGGAATGCTGGCATCATTCCACTGATGCTATGATGAGTTTGGAAAACAGATCTGATCCTTGACTGCTGCAGATTCCTTACATTTAATGATTGATCATGGATCCATTATATTTCACATGCATTGTTTATCAAGTCTGAAGCTTTTTGATTTATGGTTAGCAGAGGTTTATTTCTCTCCTCCGCTGTCTTTCTGTGCTTGTTTTCTGATCAGAGAAACTTTCCAAGGTTCGCTCTTAACATTCCTGCTTTTATGCAGTTAGATTCTGAACGTTATAATGTTTCTAAGCTTTGTTTTTAGATCTAATGACCTTGTTACATCTTTGTGTCCCAAATGGCTTTTTTTCCCGTTTCCTTGATGCAATCTTGGAATTTCCTGTTTTGCTGCCTCCGTTACAGCTTTACAAATACCACCATTAGAAATATTCATATCCTGAATAATATTTATATTTTCCTTATTTCTTCTTCTTCTTCACTAATCTTTGTTAACATATCCCAGTTTTCCCTATAATTAAACATCTACTTCCTCCTTTATATCAGCAAATCCATGCTGGTAATTATTGAATAATGATGGCTTCCTAAAGTAGCCTCCACTCAGCTGCTAATGTGTCAGAAACGCAGACTGAACTATTTCTACTATTACTTCTTTTTACATTTGCTGCATTAAAACATACTACATTCTTATTTAACAAACTTTATTCAATAAACCCTCAGTTTTTATAATCATGATTGTCCCATAGTGCTATGTGAAATAAAATCTTCAAAACAATAACATTAACATCTAAATCACAATGGAAAACTTCTTGCACGGATTATATATAAAAAAATAAATAAATGTATTTTTCATTTTCAGTTCAAATTCCATCTGTTATGTTTTCCAGCTTGTTGAGATAATTGTAGTCGTGTATTCGCTTGTTATGTGACCAATCTATTCAGCAGATGGAGTGCATAGTCTTCCGTCACTCAGTGATTACAGAGGCTCCCTAATTAGCACAGTCCTTCAGTCAGAACAATAAAACTAACGCTACATCCCACTGATGAAGAAGAACACGTCTGCAGTGCTGAGGCCGAGATACAGCAGGAAACAAGGCAGGGTCTGATAGCGTGTCAGTTTAGCATCAGTCTGATGCAACACATCATGAGGCGTAACTGAGGAGCAGAGTTGGGAACCACAATACGTCCTCTACTTTACAGGACCCTTACTGGACCTGGACCACTGGACTGACTGGTTTGTTTCTCTCTCAGACTCATTAAAGTCCACAAGATGGAAGATTGGGACCCAAGGGAGGATCATGCAGAACCTCCAGGACCCAGATGTCCATCTGTGAGAAGTGATTTCTCAAAAGATAATCCTCCAGACTTCAGCACAGAACCTCGACCCTCAGAGACAAAGTAAGAAACCAGTTTCTAACTGATCCATGTACCTCCACAGAGATAGAATATATAGAGTCTGAACTGTCTAAAGCTAAATTTCCTTAGTTTTTTTTTGTATTATTTCAACATTAAAGCCAACTAAATGTGATGGAGTATCATCAGTCAGTAAATCAGTTTAAATGAGGGCCCACTGCACTGAGATAACAGTCAGTCCTCATGTGAAAAAACTAAAGCGCTCCCTGGTAAAGTGGGTTCTAAGGAGAAGAAGAAGCCTCAGGTGTAGAAATGGTTTAAATGCATTAAATATTTCAGGTGGAACAGCAGATGGTAAGCTGTTAAAGGCAACGCTTCAGGGACGGCTCTACTCTCATAGTTCTATGGTCAGTTTTAGAAATGGAGCTTAGCTTTACACCAACAGTTAAACTGTCAGAGGTGGCTTCTTATGCCTTGTTGCTGTATAGATTGTATATATTTTTTGCCATATTCAATAGAAGAAATTGTGCTTTAATAAATTTTCACTTCTAAATATGTACTTTTTTCAAAGAAGTTGTGTGAAATATCAGGGGTCATAGAATGATTTTATAGAGCAGGGGTCTTCAATGTTTTCCAGGCCAAGGACCCCCAAACTGATGGAGAGATGGAGCGGGGACCCCCTAATTATATGTATAGTATGAAATAGTGTTCTATCTAACTGGTCTATAGTCCCTCTATTACAGATGGAGTAATGTAACTAAAGTAATCCCTCCCTGGGATTATTAAAGTATTTCTGATTCCTGGTTGGTGGGACAGGTGTTGTGAATGAAACGGTGCCCAGATTGAAAGAGCTCCTGTGTGTCGCTGAATGTGTGCATTAATGACTGAAAGACATCTTCTGCCCCCATTAATCTGTTTACTACAGTCTGTTGAGTTCATGTTAATGTTGATTTAAAGACATTTCAATTAGTGGAAAAAATTGCAGGGGGGATATAAAAAAAAAAGTTTAATCAACCAAAATGTTCGTGACCCCCATGCAGTACCTCTGTGGACCCCTAGGGGTCGCACACCCCTGTTGAAGACCTCTGCTATAGGATATTTGCTGTTGGTCCTTCAGGTCTCTAATAGGGTGTGTAACATTGGTTGGGCTATAAATGGCATATTAGCTGTTCTATGAGCCCTAATGCAGCCTGGTTAAAAGCCCCAGAATGAAACGACAGGTTTTCTTCCTTTTATGGTATGATCATGAATTTTTAGATGAGCTTTGCTCTGATTGGTCTGTTTACAACGAGCAAAGCTGCTGAGCAAAGACGCATCATAGCAACAAGCACTCACTAACTGAAACACTGAGATTGTTGATATTGTAGGGGGACCAGACATCCTCTTTTTCCCGGACATGTCCTACTTTTCATACCTAAAACAAATGTCCAGTGGGGATTTTAAAATCGTCCTGGATTCTGGTCAACTGCAGTGCAGCACGTTATTTATTCAATTATCTAGGGGCAAAAAGGGTTTTGAAATTTGTACGTTTTTTATTTGTTGATATATTAGTTGTAATAACAGTCCTTTTAATTATTTGATCATATTTTAAACAAATCCCAAGGCAAGGCAATTTTATTTATATAGTGCAATTCAGTACATGCACAATAAAAAAAATGCTTTACATAAATTAAATAAGAATATAAAAGCAGCTTAAAAGCTATGGAAGTAAATCTGTGTCGCTGGGATTTGAATAAAAAATGCCACTGAAATTTAAATGTTGTATGTTTGTACTTACTGTTCCAGTGTTAAAATATATTCAGAACACATTTTTGACCTAAAAAAAATTCACTGTCATTATTTCTACACACTGTTTATAGTGGGGATGGTGTGCTGCTGACCTCGACTCGGGACGTTGTGGGTCGGTGGGCGGAATACTTCGAAGACCTCCTCAATCCCACCAACATGTCTTCCATTGAGGAAGCTGGGCCTGGGGACTCTGGACTGGGCTCTCCAATCTCTGTGGGCGAGGTCGCCAAGGTGGTTAAAAAGCTCCTCGGTGGCAGGGCCCCGGGGGTTGATGGGATCCGCCCGGAGTTCCTCAAGGTCCTGGATGTTGTGGGGTTGTGTTGGCTGACACGACTCTTCAACATTGCATGGACATCGGGGGCAGTCCCCCTGGATTGGCAGACTGGGGTGGTGGTCCCCCTGTTCAAAAAGGGGGACCGGAGGGTGTGCTCCAATTACAGGGGAGTCACACTCTTAAGCCTCCCCGGCAAGGTCTATTTGGGGGTGCTGGAGAGGAGGGTCAGTCGGATAGTCGAACCTCGGATTCAGGAAGAGCAGTGTGGTTTCCGTCCTGGTCGTGGAACGCTGGATTAGCTCTACACCCTCAGCAGGGTCCTGGAGGGTGCATGGGAGTTCGCCCAACCAGTCTACATGTGCTTTGTGGACTTGGAGAGGGCGTTCGACCGTGTCCCTCGTGTGGCCCTGTGCCAGGCCCTTTGATACGGGCTGTCAGGTCCCTGTATGACCGGTGTCAGAGTCTGGTCCGCATTGCCGGCAGTAAGTCGGGCTCGTTTCCGGTGAGAGTTGGACTCCGCCAGGGCTGCCCTTTGTCACCGATTCTGTTCATTACCTTCATGGACAGAATTTCTAGGCGCAGCCAAGGTGTTGAGGGGATCCGTTTTGGTGGCCTTAGGATTGCGTCTCTGCTTTTTGCAGATGATGTGGTCCTATTGGCTTCATCAGGTCGTGATCTGCAGCTCTCGCTGGATCGGTTCGCAGCCGAGTGTGAAGCAGCCGGGATGGGGATCAGTGCCTCCAAATCCGAGGCTATGGTCTTGAGCCGGAAAAGGGTAGAGTGCCTTCTCCGGGTCAGGGGGGGTGTCCTGCCCCAAGTAGAGGAGTTTAAGTATCTTGGGATCTTGTTCACGAATGAGGGAAGAAGGGAGCGGGAGATCGACAGGCGGATTGGTGCAGCGTCTGCCGTGAAGCGGGCACTGTACCGGTCCGTCGTGGTGAAGAGAGAGCTGAGTCAAAAAGCGAAGCTCTCGATTTACCGGTCGATCTACGTTCCTACCCTCATCTATGGTCATGAACTCTGGGTCATGACCGAAAGAACGAGATCGCAGATACAAGCGGGCCGAAATGGGTTTCCTCCGTAGGGTGGCTGGGCTCTCCCTTAGAGATAGGGTGAGAAGCTCGGTCATCCGGGAGGGACTCGGAGTAGAGCCGCTGCTCCTCCACGTCGAGAGGAGCCAGTTGAGGTGGCTTGGGCATCTGTTTAGGATGCCTCCTGGACGCCTCCCTGGTGAGGTGTTCCGGGCACGTCCCACCGGGGGGAGGCCCCGGGGAAGACCCAGGACACGCTGGAGAGACTATGTTTCTCGGCTGGCCTGGGAACGCCTTGGGGTTCCTCCTGAAGAGCTGGAAGAAGTGGCTGGGGAGAGGGAAGTCTGGGCCTCCCTTCTTAAGCTGCTGCCCCCGCGACCCGACCCCGGATAAGCGGAGGAAGATGGATGGATGGATGGATATTTCTACACAGTTGAAATTTATTTTTTTGTCATTTTCTCTTTGAGCTAAAAATTCACATTACTATTTCAAAGTGATTACATTTTCAATACTTATTTTTCAGTTTAATTCTTCAGTGTTCAAAAAATCTGCATCTAAAAAAAATTCAACCTTTCAAAATTCAAATTTCAACTGGCTCTATTTCACTGTCTTAAATTCGGCGTCTAAATTCAGCGTAAAAAGGGAAGAGTTACTTCAGGTCACAGACATTAGCAATGGATTGTGGCGTCCAACCTCCAGCCAATCCCGTTACGTTTTCTTGGTCACGTGATGTGACGCTTGTGGCGCTCATACTGAAGGAACACCAGCATCACGGAGCCGGTCATGCAAGCTAATGCTAACTCAACTACAGAAAAATGAAAGTAATAAACTGACTGTTGAATTTACTACTTGTATTTGGTGCTGGTCCTTAAGGTCTCTGAATACTTAAATGAGACCCGAGAACTTTCTGGGCTTTGTAGTACTAGTAGAGGATAGTATAGAAGTACTTTGTAGAATAATTTCTATCTGATCTCATCAGCTCCATTACACTGTGACATGAGCCTGTTGGTGGTGTTTATGTGGTGTTGGTTTGACTCATGGGATCCAGACCATTAGAAAACAGCTCCTAAGATAATGTTCAGTTAGATCCAATGTCTGCATCTGAATGTTTTTAAACCCTCTGCTTTTCTTCAGCAGTGTTCTTCCTTCCCGGGGCTTATCTCAGAGTTTCTCACTGATTGCTTTAATCTGAGTAACAGCATGTTTGTGTTTCAGATGTCAGAGCTGCCGAGAGAGAGCAGAACTGCCAGGATCCAGCTGTCCTTCTATGAGGATTGACTGGTCCAAAGATATTCCTCCAGACTTCTGCAATGAACCTGCACCCTCGAACTTAGAGTAAGGAACCAGTCTGTCACTGTTGAATATGACTCAGTAGAGACCAACCAGGGTTTTAACTTTCATTTCTGGTTAGTTCAGCTGTGACCTAAAATGAGCTTTGAGAGAACAGAACAATGTGTGGAGAAAATAAAAACAGTCAGGTTTCTTTGTGTCTTTATGAAGCTCCAGCAGCTTCCAGGTTCCTCAGAGGTCTAGTGTCTGTTGGAGTGGGAACAACAACAGTTATTTTTGGACATTTAGAAAAGCACAAGCAGGAACTCCTTCCTGCTTGTGCATTCCAGGGCTCATTCCACTGACATCAACCAGCTGCAAAAAGAAGGCCAAAGGTCGGAGACTGAAGGCTGTTAGAAAGTTCTCTTTTACTCATAACAGATTCCAGCTTTCATCCACAGTAACAATCCACCATAAACTAACAAAGAGAACTGATTCACCAATAAATGTAGCTACAAACAGTTGAATTTTATTAGAGCTGCTTAATATATCAGAACATAAAAGGTTATCATCTGCTTCTGATGAGTGGTTTGGACTGCAATAACTATTAGCTTATTACTGAAGGGTTATTGGAAAAACAATGTTCAATTATTCAGCCAAGTTAAAAAAGGGGATTGATGGTAATCCACTCAGTAAAACTTAATTTGTCTTTGCAAAGATGACAATCATAACAGCCCTCACAGCTCAATGTTTTACCCTGCTCTGGTCTAGTTTTTCTAACTTAAAGTCTGCAAAGAGCTCTGAAGGTCTCCACATGCAGTTGATCCGAAAAAATAGCAACACAATACAGTCAAGAGGTTTATTTGACCGACTTAAAATGATCACTTTTTTGCTTACAAAGGGATCTCTGCTTCAACTCATTAGACTCCTGAGGGAGACTAAATAAAATATTGCAATTCCCCTACTATTTTAATATGGTAGGAAAACGTATAATTAATGTTGAAGTATACATATCTATCATATTTAAAAGCTTCTCTGTTTTAGGAGTTTTTTAATATTTGATGATAAAGGTTATTCCTGTCAGATTAGATAGAAACTAAAGTGAAGTTAAAGGTTGGCTTCCCTCTAATTAGAAAAACCAAATGGGCTGAACAGAACCTGATTAAAAGTAGTATTTTCCATAAACAATTTAAAATGGACACAAACAACAAACAATCCATCATGAGAGTAAATACAATAGAATCATAGATTTTATCAATGGTCTTCTGGTTTTCTTCCTGCTGTGGAAGAACCCCCCCCCCCGGTGGTAGTTAACCTTGCAGTGATGACAAAATGTGTTCACAGATTGAGGAAGAGGAGCAAACCTCAGCATGGAGAACGACCCAGATCTGGTGCTGGACCACAGACAGCCAATCAGAGCAGCTGTGCAGCAGGTAAGACTAAACATCTCCAATCAGAGCTTCCTTCTGTCGTCTCTGTTGAACCGATTCCACGTCTGTGGTTGGATATTGAGATTTAAGTTTTCAGTCTTTCTTGATCAATGATTTCAACTAAATCTTCATATTTACATCTGGTGTAAAATTTTCAACTGTCCTCAACCTAACTACTCTAATCAGTTTGGGCTGCACATATCATAACTGAGCATATCCTTAAAGCTGGAGCTAATTTTAATGCATGAAAACAAAATGATTGAGAGAGGAACCTGCTAAACCGCTGCTTTTCTAATAAGAAGGAGGGGAAGTCTGCAGTGACCTCACAAACAGAGGACCAGAAACGTCAGCACAAGCCAACAGGAAAGGTTTTATAGTTTGATTTACTTTTATTGACCGTGCCAATGTCTATTTTATCGATTTTATTGTTGTTTCATTTAATCCATTTTTTGTGTCTTAGTAGGGTGTCCTTGAGTGCTGAGAGGATGGCTTTGTGAATGTAGGCTGAGGTCATTAACCTTGTAAAAAACAGGATCTGTGGGGCAGGTGACAGTTGTAGCCCGGGGCACAGAAACTGGGTCAGAACCAGAGGCAAATATAGGCTTACAGATCCAGGGGAGAAGCAGGGGGCAGAACTCAGGAGGCAGAACCCTGGTCAGTGTCCATATATCTGACAGCAGGAGATTGTTCCGTATGCAAGACAGTAACAAGGAATCCTTGGGTTAAATAGGCAGGAGAGCAGGGGGTAATGAGGACTGATGAGAAATGGCGGAGCTGCACGGGTGGGGAGAATGAGTGAAATGATGGCAGGAGCACAGCTGAATGTAAACAAACCAGTTAATTTGCCAGAATCTGAACAGAGGATCAATTTACCTCTGTAACCTCTGTGAAATCTCATCTCAGACCAGCTGTCAGTAGCTATGAACTAAGGCACTTACAATCAGCCCTCAGCCACACCATCTCACTAACCTGGGTAACATGACAATTTTGACGTGATGGCGATGAGAAAAGTATTGATACATCAAGTAGTTGGGGGAAAAAAGTATTCAACTATTCACCCTAGTTAATTAAACAGAGATTCATGGATTTCACTCAGTCGGCACATTTATTCATATCTTTGCAAAGAGAGAACAGTTCATCATACAGCCCTTATGGCACAGCATTCTGCTCTGGTCAGCGTTCGTCCCCCCCTTACTTACAACAATGGAAAGCAGTCAGAGTCATAACAAATTACACACACTTTGGTTAACAGTAACATGTTATGAATAAACCTTGAGAAAGAATCTGGATTGTTATGGGAAGAAGCTGTCTGGTCTACAAACACCATCATGCAGAGAATGGTGTGGCCTTGAGAGAGAAACAGACCGAGTGAAAACTTTTATAGTGAGTAAATAGGATAAATTTATATATAATAGAAGAGAAATAAAAATTTTCCGACAACAGTAGTACATAACTGCACTGAGCTACTGATGGCAATTTAGAAGCCCAACTTGCCACAATTGGCGACAACTCGACACCATGCTCAATACATTTGAAACAGTTTAGAATGGCAGCATCTGCTGGATGCTACCAGAACTACAATTGAGCGGGTCTTCTAATGTCTGCATTATTTCGCACTGGAACAGTTTTGTTCCATAATAATGGAATTGCCTTCCAACTTAATCCTGATTAGTTGGAGCCATGACCCAGAAACTGAGAATATACAAAGGGTTATATGTTTTTTTACAACATGGAATCATTCTAACAATTTCTTCTACAGAACCCAATCAGTCTAATGTAATTTCTAATCTATTATGATTTTTTTTTAAACCCAAACTTTGAGTGAGACATGCCATTTGAATATAAACAGTAGTTGAGATTAAACGTGTAATTTAGTCTGGCCCTGATGAATGAGACATCAGAAGATTGTTGATGAGAACAACCAGCTGTTTTTCAAACCATGTCTGTCTATTGGCCAACGCTCTGATCAATGAGCGCATTTGACTGTGATGTAGTAAGCGCGACAGAAACAAACAACCTGTCGGTAAAACTGCGAATACGTTCTTCTTAAAATGAATGAGCGTAGAGCCTCTTCCTGCTCACGTTTTATTAAAAGCCCCAAGTCTAATCCATCCAAAACTGATTCCAAAGCTGAGTCTAACCAGAACATTTCAATAGTTATTGCCATCTTCCTTGTTGTTCTTTCTCCAGCGTCTCTCATCTTTGTCGTCCCGCCCTCAAAACCCCGACCCGCTTTGCATCCAGAAATTCAAAACACATCTCTGCTTTGTGATTGGCCCACCAGTTCTAGGGCCTGGGGCATTGATCGAGCCTAGACCACTCGCAGGGAAAAATGATTTTGGCCGCTGGCGGGTGGGGCTAGTTTACTAGGCTAACAGATCAGAGCATTTGCTCTAGATTTCTTTCATTAAGGTAAGAAAATAAAGAGTAAACCTTTTTGTTTCTCCCTACATCTTCTGTAGCTGCTGTGTTCGTGGGGGCAGGTGCCAGTTGAAGGCAATGTTAAGATGATGCACCATGTTGCCGAACACTGCTGCTTGTTTCCTTTAGCATTTTTTTCATTTTCTCTTCTCTGGGAATCACTTCCTGACAGTGAACACATGCTGGCCACAAAACAGAAACACGCCCTCTGACAATTTAATGATGTTCTGGTTCTGAGGATGATTCGGGTGTTTTAGCATCACAATACAAAGGAAGAGACCTTATAATGCTAACACTAGAAGGTTTTGTTTACACTTCATCACTTTATTAGTTCTTTTTTCCTTCAGTCGTCTTTTGTTCTGTGTTTCAGCAGATGTTGGTCTGCAGGAGGCTCTAGAGGAACATAAGATCAGTCTGAGGAGGAGATGTGAATGTGTGCCTGAAGGAAGTGATGAAACAGGAAGTAGAACTCTCCTCAATAGCATCTACACTGATCTCTACATCATAGAGGGACAAAGTGAAGAGGTTAATACCCAACATGAGGTGAAGCAGCTGGAGAGAGCTTCCAAGATCCAGAACCTCCATGATTCTCCAATCAGGTGCCAGGACATCTTCAAAGCCTTCCCTGACCAACATGTAGCCATCAGAGTGGTTCTGACCAACGGCGTTGCTGGTGTTGGAAAAACCTTCTCAGTGCAGAAGTTCACTCTGGACTGGGCAGAGGGCTTGGAGAACCAAGATGTTAGTGTGGTGGTCCTGCTTTCCTTCAGGGAGCTGAACCTGATTAGAGATCAGCAGCACAGTCTTCTCACGCTGCTCCATGTTTTCCATCCAACCCTCCAGAAGCTCCCAGCAAAGAAGCTCACTGTCTGGAGGCTTCTCTTCATCTTTGATGGCCTGGATGAAAGCAAACTTTCTCTGGACTTCGACAACAGACCACTTGTTTCTGACGTCACACAGAGGTCATCAGTCAACGTTCTGCTGATGAACCTCATCAAGGGGAATCTGCTTCCCTCTGCTCTCATCTGGATAACTTCCCGACCTGCGGCGGCCTATCAGATCCCTCCTTTATGTGTTTCCAGGGTAACAGAAGTACGAGGCTTCACAGACACCCAGAAGGAAGAGTACTTCATTAGGAAGTTCAGTGATGAAGAGGAGAAGGCCAGCAGGATCATCTCCCACATCAAGACCTCCAGGAGCCTCTTCATCATGTGTGGGATCCCAGTGTTCTGCTGGATCACTGCTACGGTTCTGGAGAACCTGTTGACCACAGAGCAGAGAGGAGAGCTGCCCACGACTATGACTGACATGTACTCACACTTCCTGTTGGTCCAGACCAAGAGGAAGAAGAACAAGTACCATGAAGTACATGAGACGACTCCACAGGAGCTGATGGAGGCTGACAGGGAAGTTCTTCTGAAGCTGGGGAGGCTGGCCTTGGAACATCTGGAGAAAGGAAACATCATGTTCTACCAAGAAGATCTAGAGCAGTGTGGTCTGGATGTCACAGATGCCTCTGTGTTCTCAGGAGTTTGTACAGAGATCTTCAAAAGAGAGAGTGTGATCTTGCAGAAACCAGTCTACTGCTTTGTTCATCTGAGTGTCCAGGAGTTTCTGGCTGCAGTTTACATGCTCCACTGCTTCACCAGCAGGAACACAGAGGTGGTGAAGAACTTCTTGAGAGGTTACTACAATGAGGCATCTCTGGAGGACTTCATGGAGAGAATCATGAAGAAATCTCTCAGCAGTATAAATGGCCACCTTGACCTTTTTGTCCGCTTCCTTCATGGCCTGACTGTGGAGTCTAACCAGAGACTCTTTGGAGGCCTACTGGGTCAAACCGAGAATATGTCAGAAACCATCAAGAGAATCATCAATAACCTGAAAAAGAGGAACACAGATGATATCTCCTCAGATAGAAGCATCAATATCTTCTACTGTCTGATGGAGATGAAGGACCTCTCAGTTTATCAGGAGATCCAACACTTCCTAAAATCAAAGAAAAGCTCAGAAAAGAGTCTCTCAGAGATCCAATGCTCAGCTCTGGCCTACATGCTGCTGATGTCCAATGACATTCTCGATGAGTTGGACTTGGTGAAGTACAACACATCAGAAGGAGGGCGACAGAGATTGATCCCAGCTGTGAGGAACTGCAGAAAGGCACGGTGAGTCCTGGTGACTTGATAGGGTGGTGCTGATTCAGCTCTACTGCCATTTAGGTTCTTCTTCATTGTTCAAGTTGATTCTTGACATGTTTGTTCTTCAACTTCTTCCCTCATGCTTGTTCATGACTGCATCTTTGTCAGGGTTGCTGTAGCCTTTGCTATTCGAATCATTTGAAAATATTAAATATTTTATTCTTTTATTTTCCGTTTAAATAAACATAAAAAATAAAATGTAGAAAAAATGTTTTCTATGAAGATCAAATGAGACAGAAAGAGGCTTGAGACATATATCTATCTTCCAACCACTTTTCGTTAGTTACTGTTCCAAGTTGCTGGAGAAGAGAGTCTTGCCGATTGTCGAACCTCAGCTGCAGGAGGAGCAGTAAGAGCTTTACATTGCGGGGTGCCTGAGGGTTCACGGGAGTTTCCCCAACTACGCCATTTGTGTTTTATGGACCTGTAGGAGGCATTTGACTGAATCCTCTTGGTTTCATTTGTGGGACATTCCAGGTGTACCAGGTCAGGGGTCCTTTACTCTTGGCCATCTGGTCTCTGTACAAGCAGTTCAGAAGCCTGGTCAGCATTGGCGAAGTCAGACCTGATTCTGTTCCATTTTGGACTCTGACAGTGCTGCCCTTTGTCATTGGTCTTGTTCAGGAACTTTATGGACTGGATTTCTACATCAGCCAAGGACCAGACAGGTCTGGTTTAGGACCAGTGGATTTTGTGCCTGCTTTTTCCACATGACTTGATTCTGCTTTCTCCCTCCTGCCAAGACCCACATAATTTAATTGGGGTGTTTTGCAGCCGAATGTGAATGAGCCAGGCATTAGAATTAGCTCCTCCAAATCAGAGGGCATTGTTCTCCAGCAGAAAAAGATTGCTTTTGCCTTTCAGTTAGAATTCCTGCCTCAAGTCATATTGTGTTGTCGTGCCGGTTTATGGACATTATGCACGACCTCCTAGAAGCACTGTATATGTTTTTAGTTGATGTGGATATCGATTCCCTAGCAGGATTGGTCCAAAGCCTGGGTAGAATGTGTAAGTATGAGGAGTGTAAGAATATTGTGTTTTCCCTGGTCTTTGACTACATTGAGTGCTTGTATATGTCTGTATGGGTGTAAGGATGGAATTGTCTGAATGTGTCTGAATGAATGTTGCTGCTGTCTACTCCCCAGCCCCACCTACTGAACATTGTAGTCCCCAAGTATAAGTAGGGTCTGCCTCCAACCCCCCTGTTATGCTCCTTGTAAGTGACAGGTGCCTGTGTCTGCTTGTGAGCTGGAGGTTCTCTAGGTGCGGGGTTGGGTAGTTCAGTGGCCACTCTCTCATTCCTGGTGGCTGCTGGGCCTGGGCCTCCTAGCCCTGTGGGGTCCCCATTTAGGGTTGGTTATCCCCTGGACCCCGAGATTCTTATCCGGGTCCAGTTCTACCGGCAGAGCCCATGGGATCGCTGCTGCGGCCCGGTGGGAACTCGGCACTTTGGCCTCCACTGTTAGGCCCCCGAGGGGCTGGGCCCCGTTGGGGTTTTGGCCCCTCCAAGGTAAGGCTTTGGGTGCTCTTGTCTTCCCTTCTCTAGTGTCCTAGTGATCTGGGGTGCCTCTGGGTATCTGGGACTTGCATGGCCTCTTTTTCTGTCCTGTGCCCTGTAGGGGGAGTCTGGGGCTGCCCACACCTGCTATCAAGCATATTTTCCTTCTTAAGAAGCTTTGTAAATCTTCCTCCTCCAATGGAAAAAATGCTTATGTTGATGAGGATCTTCTGTCAACATGAAGCCTGAAGTGCTTGAACCTGTTGCTCGGCTTCTCTGTTTTTCTCCATCACTGTGGTTCAATGGAGCTTCTAACCAAATCAGAGACACAGCAGGTCTGCAGCTGAACCAGGACCTGAAGAGACTGAAGAGATTCTCTGTGGTCTCAAAGACAAGACATTGATCTGGAGAGCAGATGTTCATCAGATGATGACATCTCTGTTTGCCCATCATGTTTTAGTCTTTGTTTTTTGTTAGATTTTCTGATTTCATTAGAACTGACTTCATTTTTCCTCTAATCACAGACTTGGTGGCTGTAGACTTTCAAGTGTTGACTGTGAAATTGTGGCCTCAGCTCTGAAGTCCAATCTTGATCTGACTGATCTGGAAATAGATCAGATCGATGGACGAGGATCATTTGGAGACTCTGGAATGAAGCATCTGTGTGAGATACTTGAGAGTTCAATCTGCAAAGTGAAGAGACTAAGGTTAGTTTTTTATGTTCAATCAATACAAATAATTCAGTCATGCTTTTATGGCGTTTTATTTAAAAATTATATTCTAATATATTTTATGTAAAACAGCCTGCTGTTCAAATGATAGAATATAATTTCTAAGAATTTTTACCTTGTAATTGGATTATTTCCCTACTTCAGATTTCAAAAATAGCCAACTAACTGTAATTAAAACAACAAAAAATAAACATTTGGACTAATAAAAACAAGTTATAAAAAAAGTGACATAAGTTTGACTACCGTAAATTCTCTAATATTGGCCTGTATTCCATTAGCGGCCGGGACTCTAACATTGGCCGGTCTCGCTGTCAGCGGAGGTAAATAATGGCCGGTCTCTTATACAGGCCGGGGCTATAAACGTTTTTTCTGGGCATACCTCAACATTATACTTGTGGTAGTAACATACAAGTACCACAGGGGGGCAATGTTTGCTAATGAATCCAAGCCATCTCTACGGTAGCCTGGTCATCGCCTCGCTCTTGACTCGAACTTCAGTTTTCAGTCACCAGTAGGCTAACGTTAACGTTAACGTTTACCATGGCAGCGAGGAGACGAAAATTTGATATCAAGTTCAAAGAGAACGTGCTGGAATATGCTGCAGAGCACTCTGGGGAGCAAGCTGCTAAACATTTTAACATTGACCCGAAAAGAATAAGATACTGGAAAAAGCAGAAAATAGATCTAGCCGCAGCAAACAAAAAGAGAGCAAGGCTGCCCGGAGGAGGGAGAAAAAAGGTTAGCGAGGAGTTGGACACAAAACTCTCTGAGTGGATCCATTCAATGAGGGACAATCATAACCGAGTGTCTAGAAAAATGATCCGAAACAAGGCTCTGGAAATCTACCCTACAGTGAGTGATGGCGGTGCGCGATTTCTGACTAGCAGCGGTTGGCTGCAAAAGTTTTTAAACCGACATGGCTTCGCATTGCGACATCGAACCACAATGGCTCAGAAGGACCCAGATCTCCTCACAGAGAAACTTGTCTCATTCGTCGACTACGTGAGCAAGACTGTCGTCTCGAAAAGAATTTCAGAGAAGGACATAATTGCAATGGATGAGACTGCCGTTTGGTTCGATATGGTGTCTCCCACTACCATTGACGTAAAAGGGACGAAGAGTGTTGCGCTCAAAACAACAGGCCACGAGAAAAGCCATCTCACTGTTGTCCTTGCTGCCAAGGCTGATGGCACTAAACTCAAGCCTTATGTCGTCTTCCGGGGGGCCATCCGTGAGGTGAAGGCAATGCAGCAAGAAATATCAAGAGCTGTCATCACCACATCTGCCAACGGCTGGATGAATGACGACTTGACCATAGCATGGCTCAGGTCAGTGCTAGGCAAATTCAGTTTTCGCCCGCGCCTGCTGGTGTGGGATGCCTACCGCTGTCACATCAGCACCTCTACCAAACAGGAATTGATGTCCTACAACATCACAACCGCGGTGATCCCAGGAGGCTGCACTAAGTATGTGCAAGCCCCCGATGTCATGTGGAACCAGCCCTTCAAAGCGAGCCTACATGCTTCTTATGATGAGTGGATGGCCGGGGACGCAGACAAGCAATACACAAGTGGAGGGAACCTAAAAGCACCATCTCGCCGTCTGCTTGTGGACTGGGTTCTCGCTGCTTGGGACAAGCTGGACAAGGACCTGATCATCAAGTCCTTCAAAGTGTGTGGGCAGTCTGTAAAACCCGACGGAAGTGAGGATGACCTCATATTGTGCTTCCGAGAGGGACAGGTATGAAATTATTACTCACTTCTATCACTATCACTATTGCATTCGTGAGTGAGCCTGTCCACTGTGACTTGCAATAACGGCCAAACTAAATTGTATTGTTCTTTACAGCCCTGCGCTGCTGGACGACAGGCCCTGACTGCTGCCCGTCTGCGCGAGGAAGAGAACAGACACGCAGCAGAACATGAGGAGGACGAAGAGGAACTGTACAATAATGAACTTGTTATAGAGACTGACGCGAGTGATGAGGAGATTACAGGGAGAGATGAAGAGGAGGAGGAAACTGAGGAGGAGGATTAAACAGAATTGGAGGATTTTTTATTTTTTTACTTCAAACCAAGCCAGCTTTTTGTTATAAAACAATAGCCTAATTATCACCATATGGTTTAGTGTTTACATTGCACTAGTAGCACTACTGGTATGTTTGCTACGTTTTTTGTCACTGGAATTTAGCCTGAATTACAGGTAGGCTATTTGTTGTTAAATTTCTGTATACCGTTATGGTAACTGTTCTTGTTCAATAAATGAACCTAATATTTTATAGGTTCAAATAGACACAAAATCTAATTTTTATTCATTCCACTGGTAGTCTGTTTTGCTCAAATAGCAATAGAGGCCTGTCTCTAATTCTGGCCTCCTTCCAATAAAGGCCTGGACCGCGATGCACTTGAGTGAAATAAAGGCCCGGGCCTATATTAGAGAATTTACGGTAATTGATGTTTTAGTTTGATTTGGAAAATATTCATAAGATAAGATTACTGCATTTGTCATTTGTTATTTATGTCTTTACACAAATAATGATTTTAGAATAGAGAATACATTGGAATACATAAAGAAACATTAGTACATTAGTCATAAAAAAACATTATTTTACACCATTTCACAAAGATATGAGCTTAAAGGTTCAGTGAAGGAAGGGGTTAAAAGCATAGAGACACTATAAATTACAATTAGGTCATCTGAGGAGAACGTTTAAAAATAAGGGAAGAGGTACATTCTTGTGGATAGCCTCCAGCAGCATCAATATTGGTGTGGACTCTGGTTAGATGCAACACCCCACCAGAACTTACTGAAAATAATCAGTGAACCAGAATATTTTGACTAGACTTCCTGGGGAAATGAAGTGTGCTTCCCGAGATGGAAGCATCTGCAGAAAGTCTAGACTGGATATAGCAGGTGATCAGTAGCTGCAGTTGTGAGTTCTGAGAAAACTGTGGACCTTCCCTGTAAAGTTACACAATCATACAGGTCCTTCCCCCTTGCTCTCTATCACTACAACCCTCTATCCACAGTGTAGCCTGCCATGAATGTGCAAGCAGGTAAGCATGGCTACTGATGACAGTGAATAAACGGCTCTGAGATATATTAAAAGATTATCATCCTTTTTTATTTAGAGAGTTCACTTAGGCCTGGCTGCTATGTTCGAATAAGCACATACTTAATACCTTATGTCTGTTTATAAAGGAACCCCTTCCAAGGATAAAGAGATTGTTCTGCCAAAAAGTCATGTGGCCCAAATAGATAAAATCATTCCAGCACTCGTGTGCTGAAGAAAAACATTATCAGACTCTGGCTCCAGTTACAGGAAAAAAGGAGGGTGCCTGCAAGAGTTAAGATGTTTACCAGATAACCTAATTGGCCAGGGATGTTCACAAGTAATTGTATACAGTGGCAAGACACTCTGTGATATGTTGAATTTCGGCACGCAGGAGATAAGTCTGTCTCACAGCAGATTCGCTGGTTGGGAAGAATCATTAAAGATATGCTTTACAGCGCTGCAAAGCCACATAGCTGCAGCACGCTGGCAGTCTTCCACTTGAACAACAGTTTTTGCAGCATGTTCATGAGGACTATAGACACTGCTAAAATGTTCCTCTTGGCTCTGATTGGTTGTTTCTTACCAGGAGCAGTGTACTTTTGGAAAAGCTATTTGGATCAATGGGGAAAGGCAGAGGAGCTTGATATTTTTCACAGATCGTGTAGCTCTGACTATACCCTCAAGATGTTGTGACAGTTTTAATAGTATAATAGTAGTAAAAGTATGTAAAAAAAAAAATCCAAAAGTTGCCTACTGCAAATCAAAAATGGAAGAGATGCATTATAAAACTAACTACTGCTCAGTTTTGTTTTATTGTAGAGTAAAGGTTTGAGTATTTTGGCTTTGAATAGGGATTTCTTACAGGTATGTTTAGATGAGGATGAAGCAAACTTCTCGTACCTTTCCTCCTACCGTAGCCCTCTACGATTTTAGATTCAACTGATGTTTTAAACTTAGGATCCTTGCAAACCTAATATAGTCCACCTGAGTGTAAGTGAGCGTGTCCCTAAAAAGAATTGCAAATCTGCCTAATAACCCCTCTGATAATTCTGCATAAGGCTACAACTTCCCATGCTTGTTCATTCACAAAAATGGCATTGAGGAGGAAAAAGAGAGACTTTACAAGTTCGAACATCAAGGTTCTCCTGACTGAGAGCTGAGCAGCAGAATTGAAGGGGCTGTAAACATCCCAGCAGTAAAATACATTACTAGGGCTGGAAAGGCTGTGGTTACTCTCAAAATAGAGAGGAAGTGGCTAGATAAGGTGATGAGGAAGGTCCGCTCTGTGATTGGATGCCCTCTGAAAACTCTTAATTTGATGAATTCATAAAATCCCAAACATTCCACATTTAGTCTCACAATAAATACAAGGTGACGCCATGAAGTGAACTGAACGAATTTCCCCCCGTTGGAAGAGTTTCACGTAGCAAGATGTTCCAGAACCTCTTTTCTGAACTTTCCATCCATTTTCTGCTCCATGTGTTATTTCAATAGTAGCTTAATCTCCCATAGAGCTCACTGACTGTTCTTTCTTAAACCAGTGTCCGTTGAATACAGACATGCCAGCTGCAGGTGTAGTGACTGATATTCTGTTACCAGCAAATAAAACTGTTAATTGAAATTACATGTTGCATAATATGTAATAATGTAGCATAAGAAAATTGGAAATTGGACAATTGCTTGTAAGATATGTAAGGGAAAGCTCTGTGTTTACACCTTTTAAGCTTTACGCCCTGATTCTTTACTGAGAAGAGATCACTCGGGACAAATCATTTAAATAACACTTCACAATGTCTATGTATTAAATAAGCAAGAGACATAACGGATTTTGACCAAAATCTTAATCTTACTCATGCAGAGAAGTTGCGTAGGGTTACAGATGGCAATGCTTACCAACCGGGCTAGCTTCTCATTAAATTAGCCTTGAATCACATTTAAAGAAGCATTTTATACCACTCCACTCTGTCACATCATTGCATCATACATGTATGTAAATGAGGAGACATCCATGGCTCCAGCCTCATCAAAATATTACACTTTGTTCTTAGATCAAGGACACTGCTCTCATTCCATTCCCAAATCTTTGCCATGTGTATAATGAAGATTACTTTTTTCCTGACAGAGGACCTGTCCTAATTAGATAAACTACTTCGGGGAAAAATAGCATCAGCAATGCATTTCCGTTTTCCTGGAACCACAAAACAGTCTGAGACTGGAGGCGACTAGATTTTTGTTCAGTTTTTCTGAAAACGTTTTAACCCCTCTAGTAGTGACCCGCTAGGTTCAAATTAGCTCCCAATACACTTACATTGAATAGAATAGAATAGAAAATCCCTTTATTGTCGTACAATTGGGAAATTGTGAAAATGAAAAAGTTTAACCAAAGTAAATTAATTCAGATTGTGTCACTATTATCAATAAATATAATACAAATGTGAAAAATATAAATGTAGAATTTAGCATTATTTTATAATTTTTGGCAAGGGTGCCGGCATGTTAAAGTACTCTAAGCGATGACATCACAGATTTGGTTAATACAGTTCGGATGACTTCACCTGCATTGTCTACTAGGGGTGGAACGGTTCACAAAAAGGTTTCGTGGTCACGGTTTTCGGTTCGGTTCGGTATATGTTTATTGTTACACCGAAAAATAAAAAATTAATAAAAATTATAAAAATGTATGAAAATTTTTTTTAAATTAAAGCTACAGTGTGTAATAATTACAGGGATATACAGTCAGAAATGTAATATGTTACACATAACTATGTTATTTATCATCTACGAGCTCAGCCTCTTAACCTTAATATTTGCGTTGCCTTAGAATTCGTTATTTATAATTACATAGGAGCGGGTCTCGCAGCCATGGAGGCAGACATCTTTGCGCTACGGCAGCGCAGAGCCAACAAACTAGCGATTGCGAGATCGCCAAAACGTCACAACGATGTAGAAAAAATACGGGTATATTTATTATCTTAAGTCTACATGAAATCTATACCCTACACAGACTAATGAAATACTATCTGTAAAATTATCTATGTAAACAAACCTCATCACTTGAGAAGGTAGGTGATGCGGACGTCGTGGAAGACATTTTGTCCCGTAACGCTCGCCGTACTGTTGGGGGGGAGAAGCGGTGGGGGGGAGATGTTCATGTTGCTGCAGTCTGCAGTCTGACCGCTAGATGTCGCTAAAAGTTACACACTGTAGCTTTAAATTAATGAAAAAATCCCAAAAAAATAATGAATTGTAATTATTTTTAATGATTTGCAGAAACCATGGATCATTTCTGCATGTTTTGCTGCTTTGAATCTAATCATCTCGCGCATGCCCTCTACGATCTACAAGGAATGCAGAGCGGACGGGAGCCACAGTGGAGGCTTTGCTTTGTGCAGGCGGTCTGGAGCGCAGCGGGGCGCTGAATGAGTATGTGGGATTTCGGGGTTAGCATGACATGTTGGTCATGTTGCTGTTAGCATAAACAAAACATGTTGCACAATGCTTGCACACTGTTGCACTTTTATCCACAACTTTCTTTTCGCTGTCATCGTAGGTCACTCTAAATGCAAAGCGGTCCCATACAGCAGACCTATAAAGTGCTGCTGGCGCATCTTCCAACTCCTTTTCTTTCCCACTCACCATACCCACACAATTCTCCAGAACAACTGATTTTTTCTGCTACACCCGACTACACTGCTTTGCTTCTTCTTTTTCTTCATTACTACTGGTGGTTGGCTTTGCTCGCACTACCGCCACCTTCTGCTCAGGAGTGTAAACACTTCACCTATGAGAAAAAGGAGCAGCGCATGAACCGAACGCAACACACGCAAACCGAACCTAGACAGTCGAACCGAACGATTCAGACGGTTTTCTGTCAGTGAGCCCCAGGGCAGCTGTGGCTACAATGTAGCTTGCCACAATCAGTGTGTGAGCGTGTGCGTGAAAGGGTGAAGGACTGATATAGTGTAAAGCGCTTTTGTCAAGTCTCCTGACTTGAAGAAGCGCTATATAAGTACAGGCCATTTGCCATTACCATTTAGTTGCCTACATCGGAAATACCACTGAAGCATCACAACCATAAAACACAAGAAATTTGGTTTGATGGAAGATGAGGCTGAAAGGAAACTCAAGTGTGTAGATCCCTTTGCATCTGCTTTGGAGCCTATTCAAAGAGTGACTCTAGTCATAGCAAGGAAAGAAGATGCAGTTGTGGAGCCGGGGTTCTGACTATTCCTGCTACTCGAGGGGACACCGGTTATGGAGCTTATCTGAGGCAGAAGACTTTTGAGTCTGGACAGCTAGTGGCAGGCTACAGCCTGAAGCTGCTCTGGGTGTTTTTAATTTCACCGCCTATAGGCTGGGCTCTACTGACCCACCATAAAAAAACATCAATAGAGCTTTTATACCTATTCAAGCCTCTTTTTCAACACACTTTCTTATAACTCCAACAGCAGTCGTCAGGATGAACACGTCTATGCAGCACAGGGTCACTCAGCCACAGGCCAGCACAGCGTGTCCACACCTCCAGAGAAATGGATTATTTCATTCACTTATTCCCCATTTCCATGGCAGGCAGTCAGATGTCCTGAGGTCCGCACTGTGCCTCACCAACCTGCGGTTTAGGCACATTTATTCCTGAAATGTCTTGACCGCTCGCTCTAATGTCTCCACTCTGAGATGCTTCAGGGACATTCTGACCACCTCCACTTCTTGGCACAGCAGTCTAAACGTCATGGGTTTATATTAAGGGTGCTCCGATTGATGGGTCACCGATCGTTATTTGCCGATAAAGGCTTTAAATAGTTTGATCGGCGGTCTTCATAAAGGCCGATCAGATGGGCCGATGAGACGCACTACTTGTTGGATTCACTCCTCCGATTCCTCTAGGGGCGCTGTAGTTGCTCTGCATCGGTATGCGACTGGAAGTGGGGAAGAAGAAGAAAACGGACGGTGGCCCGGTAGTGCATTTAGGTCATCTACGCGCAGCTAAAATAAAATCTTGTTTGTTTAAGTAAATCCATTTAAGTTTTATTTTTATTTTCAACCAAAAAAAGGTATAAAGACAGATATTTCTCCGACGCACTCAGGCCCCAGATTCGCAGGCTGCTTTCTGATGCCCTTGTCCTGGAAGCGACTGGCACCGAGCCCCCAGAGAAAGTACCACGAGCTGGCTCCTTAAACGCTATGTATGCTGAGTTGTTGGATGAAGACGAGGAACATGGTGGCGGTGACATCAGCAGCTCAACATCATCGCAGATGAACCTCTACCTATCAGAGCCAGTCATCCCACGGAGCGGACAGCCGCTTGTTTTTGGCGAGACAATAAAAGTCGTTTCCCCGCTCTCGCACAAGCCTACCTCTGGGCTCCATGCACAAGTGTAGATAGTGAGCGACTTTTTAGCACAGCATGGAATATTATAGATGAGAAAAGGAACAAGCTGTCTGCCAAAAATGCAGAGATGCTTATATTTCTAAAGAAAAATCTGCCATTGATTCTTAAAAAAGTAAGCTTTAAGAGAAATGGCTTTACTAATCTCTATTCCTCTTCTTTCTTTCTCATTGACTCATGATTTCCATGCTGTGCACTTTAAATGTATGTAGATTTAAAGGAGCTAAAACACCATTTAAAGTTAGCATTTGTTTGAATTTTACAAAACTTTATTACTACTGAAAAATGTCTGCAGTGATTAAAAGAACATTTTAGATTTTGAGCTGGGACAAAAAGCCAAACAATTACTGATATATTATCTAAAGATGTGTAACTGTTCCGTCATGGCTTCTATTTTCAGTTAATTACCGCAGGACAAGCCTAAAATACATACCTTATGCCTTTTTATCATGGCATCCCAAAATATTTCATTTTGTTTTCTTTGCTCTGCACTTTAAGTTTAAGTACACTTTAAGTTTGTGTAAATTAACAATGACAGATTTTTTGTATCTTATTTAGAAATAAGGCTAATTTGTTAAGCTCTAAGCTGTTTAAGATGTTTCTAAGGAAGTAAAATGTTGAATGTTTCCTGTCAATAAAAGTATATAGTTGACAATTCACAATACATTATCTTCTGTTAATTTTAATACATATACATTTTTGTTAAGACTATTAAAATTGAATATATGACATGATAAAAGGAAGGCTTCAGATATATATATATATATATATATATATATATATATATATATATATATATATATATATATATGTATATAACCCAGTATAACCTACAGATATATATATTTGTAGGTTATACTGGTGTTAACCTTAAAAAATGGAGTAATAGATAGATGGGGGCCAATAAACCTTTTTATATAATACTGCCCAGGATTGAAATCTACCTTCACCTATGATCTAATGTATGCTTGGAGTTCTGCAATATGGCAGTGCCCTTGCCAAAAAATGACATAACAATGCTTTGTGTTTTCTTTTACGTTTATATTTTTCATATTTGTAATATAATTATTTATAGTAGTAAGACACAGTGTTGTGTATTAAGCTAGGTTTGTTAACTGTTTCATTTTAGCTTTAAATTAAGACCAGTTTGCTATGTTTTTTAAGAGCAAATCAGCCCTTTGATTAATATCTGGACTACCTCCCCTGTGCATTATAGCACATTGAGTGTAATGCCTGCAGAAACTGTTTTTAATCACATTTACCTCCTTATATGCTATATTCATGAGTGATGCATTTGTAACCTCGTGCCTTTAAGAATGTCATTGCGAGAACCCTTGTATAAGACATCAGTTCATATTAATTAACAGTCACATGAATTTTTTTACCTTTTCGTAATTATTTGTAAATATTTTAGTTTTAAACTGTTTTTGTTGATATTGGCTCCAACTTTTACTGTTTACTCAGATTGAATTACTGCAACTTGTCAGAAACCAGCTGTGCATCTCTGGTCTCAGCTCTGAAGTCTAACCCCTACAACCTGACAGAACTGGACTTGAGTGGGAATGACCTGAAAGATACTGGACTAGCAGAGCTTTGTGGTTTTCTCCAGACATCCATTTGCAAACTACAGATATTGAGGTAAGATCTATTCTAACAACATCACACAGCAATTGTGTCAAGGTAAATCTGTAAAGGATCAAAAGGTTGTTTCACCCAAGCAGCAGGTCGTGACTGTCAGAAGAAACAGGTTGGGTTTCTAACAGTGTAGTGATCGATCGGCACTAGTCATAAGTATCAGATTTTCATCAAAACGTATGTGACTGCCGATCACTGTCATGATCGCAGAAACAGATCACCTCTATCTCTGATTTCACAGCCTGCAGAGCCCCTCCTGCAGCATGTCCCTCTTGCCTTCACAGCAAATCCAAAGCAGCGTCATGTGCTGTCATGTGCTTTCTGAGAGATCATCCTGTCAAGCTCAGAACAATAGGACCCAGTATTCGGGATCGGGAGGCAGATTTCACAAAATTTTTATTGGGAACTGAACCGAAGTGAACAATGTCTCCTGTGCAGAAGGAAACAGGTTAATGACCCTGTCTATATGGAAGTGGATGATAATGAATTTGTGAGTGACTAACCTGGTCTTATAGTTCAGTCCCAGCCCAACTTGACGCAGAGGTTGCCGCACAGAGAGTCCCAGACACTGATTATTGGTGGTCGGTGGATAAGCTGAGTAGACAAAGGAAGGCAGGATAATCCAGAGGGTGAAGCCAAACCTAGTGTCAATGATGTGCACAGTAGTCAGAGCCAGGAGGTCAGTGATCTAAAGAGGTGCCTAGGAGAATCCAGAATTGAGTCAGGTAACAGTTCCAGGTTTAGTAAATAGACAGACAGATTTGGCATGAGTCAGAAGACAAGTTAGCAGGCAGGTCAGAGGGGGACATGCAGGGTCAGGGGTCCAGAGGCACAATGGGTCATGATCAGGCAGACAGAACACAGGAATGCTTGAATAATTCTCACCAAAGGTTTAAAAAATGGCACTGATGACTAGTCTGGAAGCTGGTTGAATAGAGGCCAAAGCAGGTGAAACAGATCAGCGGTAATGAGAACTGGGAGGAGCTAAGCAGGTGAGTGAAATTTGTGATCAGACCAGGCATCAGTGCCATGATCATGATAGCTCCGCTTCTGCCCTTAGTTCTACACTACCACTGCCCTGTCGAAAAAAAATAACAAAAAATGATCAGAGCCAGGAATAGGGCTTTGGTGCCTCACTAACTTTTAAAAGTGCAAGAAGCAGAACGGCACAGCTGAGTTCGAACATCTACTAAACAATCAACCTGAGGCTCTCAGGTAGTTTGGATTTCGTAACTTATGTATACTGAATACAGCAGGAACAATATACAATTATAAATACAAATCTGAAATAGTCAATGTAATCTATTTGGATCCATTTGCACACAGCTAGCTCCAAATTAATAGTATTAGCAGCACAATTAATTATTTTAAATGCATCAAAAGTCAAGATAACAGATTTATGTAATTCAACACAATATAATACATTTCATTAAAGTATATTACATAACTTTGATCCGTAATTCAGATATACACATTTAGAGTACATTTTACAGGGAAAAGCAGCATAACTAGTTAAAAATGCTAATAGATATAGACCTCCAATATGTAAGCCCCTTATGTTTCATTTAAAGGCTAGTTTGGACAGTCAGTTAACACTGCTTCATTCAGCTGAACCAGCTGTATAGGTGCCATAGCAAATAACAGCTAAGCTAACTTTATCACAGCTAGCAAAACACTCATCATTTCTGCCATTTACACTTCTAACCTATATCAATTCAACACAGCTCTCACTGAAATCTTCTAGCAGCGTGTGTTGATGTCACCAAGGATCTTAAACCTGTAAAGAACATGTTAGAACATGTTTTGGTTCTGTTTGATTTAATACTTCAGTGGATAATTTTTCTCGGACTTGAGCTTTCAGTCAAATTATTTTTCAACATTTTTATATTTTTTTTGTCATTATTTTAGTTTTAAACTCTCTCCATTTAATTCAACTCCTCTTTTATTCTTTATTCAGATTGGAACGCTGCAAGTTGTCAGAGATCAGCTGTGCTTCTCTGGGCTCAGCTCTGAAGTCCAACCCCTCCCATTTGACAGAACTGGATCTAAGTGAGAACAACCTGAAAGATGGTGGAGTGAAGCAGCTCTGTGGTTTTCTCCAATCTCCCCTCTCCAAACTACAGACATTAAGGTCAGTCAACATATAGTTTGGTGAGGATATTCCCGTTGTAACGTTGTACTCGTACTCGTCTTCTCCCGCATCATCCAGGGCACGGTCGTGTGGGCAGCTTTCTTAGGAAATACTCTCAGACTTCCCCCTCTACACACACCTCCTCCTAGTGGAAGTCTGAGGCGTTCCCAGGCTAGCAGAGAGACATAAGCAGCTTCTGAGTATGTGTACTTGTGCATTCTCATGTGCTTGTGAAACATCATCAGCCTCAGCCCTAATACTGTTCCAATCCACAAGAATACAAGACTGAGAATGGACAAAGTCCCTGGATGTTGATTTCGCTCCTTATCAGAGCAGACTTGTCTGTTTTCAAGATTGACAGCTGTCCCAGCATGCATCACGGCAGCAGCAGCTTTTAGGTTAGCGCTCAAAGAGCTCAGAGTATGAAGATAAAAATTCTCTCTTCTGTTGCAATTGTTCTAAAAAAAATGTATGTTTTCAGATCATTTGAGGCAAGAACATTATACTTTTAAGCTCTACTATATTTCCCATTTACTGATTTAGGGCGTAATTTAAAAAGAAAGTTTCAATGTCCATGGCAACCAGAGGACCTCCGTCAGCTCGTCTGCAGCAGCCCTGTCTCTCACTGGCTCTGATGGCTTTTTTTTTCTTGTTTTATTTGGCAAAATGCTCATTTGATTTGTGTTTATCTGACTATGTTAATTGTTATTCCTTCACTAGATGAAAAAGGTAGTAATTTATTATGTAGAGACTATTAATAAAAGGAGGTGAGATGCAGCTCCAGATGAGCTTTCAATATGGTGATGTCACGAGTGCGCTTCTGTTACAATATACCCAGATTTATTCTGCGTGCTCCCAATATACCCGAGTCCATACTTTCCTATGTTCTTGTTAAGGATGTACTCTGCGAGAACACAAGTCCATACTCACGTTCTTGTGAATGCCGAAATGGCCATTGTCTCTCCAGCAATTCCTGGGTCATGCCTTTGGCCTTCTCCTGGTAGGCCATGCCTGGAACACCTTCCTAAAGAGGGTTTCAGCCACTTGTATCTGGGATCTTGTTCTTTCAGTCATGATCCAGATTTCATGACTACAGGAGAGGGTAGGAACATAGGCCGACTGGTAAATCAAGAGCTTTGCTTTTCACTCAGCTCTCTTCGCAACGACAGACTGGTGCAGTGAAGCAGCTCTGTGGTTTTCTCCAATCTCCCCTCTCCAAACTACATTTTTTTTGCATTATAGCAGCAATCCGCACTGATCCGTCTATTAGTCTCCCACTCCATTTTTCCCTCACTTGTGAACAGAATCCCGAGATACTTGAACTCCTCCATTTGAGGCATGAACTCCCCTCAAACCTGAAAGCCTCCTTTTTCCAGTAGAGAACCAGAGATTAGCCTCAGACTTGGAGGAGCTGTTTCTCTTCCTGGCCCGTCACATTCACATGCGAACCACCCCAGTATATGCTGTAGGGTTTGGCATGAAGGAGGCAGGAGAACCACGTCGTCTGCAAAAAGCAGAGATAAAACCTTCTGGTCCCCGTACCAGATACCCTTTGGTCCTTGGCTGTGCTTAGAAATCCTGTCCTGTGTGAGAGGGCAGCCCTGTCGGAGTCCAACATTCACTAGGAACAGGTCTGACTTAATGCCGGCAACGCAGAACAATGGCCCCTAGTAAATGTCCCCTGACTCAGTACTTATTAACAGACTCCCACAGTGCATTACGAGTGACCTTTGCCATCTCCATGTCCACAAAAAAATATGTGGACTAGCACAGGGAAACTCCCACGATCACCTTAAGCACCTAATGAGGGATTAGAGTTGGTCCACTGTTCCACACTACCCGTTCTGAAGCAGAGGCTCACCCATCAGCCGGACTCTCCTCTCCATCACCCTGACATAAGCGTTTACCAGAGAAGCTTAGAAGTGTTTATCCCCTATATATGGAACACACCCTCCATTTCTTCCATGCATACCTTGGGCTTCGGAACCCAGCTCATTGAGAGCGGCTGGACTCTCCTCTACTCTGGAGTGGCTCGTGGGGGGAGATAGAGGGTGTGGATGAGTCTTTTCGTCTCCCCCCCGGAGTACCAGGCCTTGGCATCCCTGGGGATTGTTGGATAGCGCCTCTGCTGGGGATTCCATCATTAAGCTGGGGGACTTCAACACCACTTCACCATGTTAAAAACAATGGTGACAACTGTAAGGCACAGACCCCCCAGCTTTGAACCAGAGTGGTCATTCATTATTGAACATCTATGCAAGTAACAGATTGTCCATAATGAACACTCTAGGCCAGAGGTCAATGATCGACTTTGTAGTTGTATCTTCTAACCTTCAGCCATATGTCTTGAATCATTTCAGAGTTGAGGATCTGAGTCTGAGTTTTTTAAACCTGCTTTATGAAATGGACCCCTGTACTCTGTCCAACACTGATCCCTCCTGGAGGACACTAATAAACACAACTTGATCTGGACCTAAACGCGGCATTAATAAAAGGTGTCCTGGTTCTGCTAGGTTTTACTGTTAATACATTTTACTGGATCAAATATCAGACATCAGTTCATTGTGTTTCTGGGACTTCTACATTTTACATTATTTATTTGTCAATATTTCAGTTTTAATTGGTTTCCTGTTGCTTGAGCCAACCTATTTTCCTTTTCATTTAGATTGATTGGATGCGGTTTTTCAGAGATCAGCTGTGCTTCTCTCAGCTCAGCTCTGAATACCAACCCCTCCCATCTGACAGAGCTGAACCTGAGTAGGAACGAAGACCTAAAAGATGATGGAGTGAAGCAGCTCTGTGGTTTTTTCCAGTCTCCCCACTGCAAACTACAGACATTAAAGTAAGTCACTATGTTCTAGTCTATTCCTGACATTTTGATGTAAAAGTTTTGTTGACACTAAGCTGCAGAGGTATGGCTGAAATTCTACTGATACTGAAGATTTTAATGTTTCAGTCTTTTGAAAAAATCTTCCCATTATTCATTTAACAGACAGCATAATACATAATACAGACTGTTGATTTGAGAGTGTTTGCAAATATTTGTTAAAACATCACAGAATCCACTTAATTTAGAACCAGTAATGCAAAAAAGTATACCTTCATTTCCAGCATCATGCTATAAGAAAGTTGGTTACAGAAAGGTTACAGAGTGGAATGCAGAAAGAAACCAAGAACCTTTTTAAGGTTTTGTCTAAAATCCTCTGATAATAGCCTCTGAGCGTCTGTTGCTTCACCTGTTAATGAGTTAGAATAGCAGTGTGGGAAGGGAAGGAACTCTGGACTGCTCTGTTGATTCCACGCTGCCTTTGACTAGGTTATACATTCAGTTCAACTCAAAAAGATTTTATAAGTATCAAAGGGAAATTAAATGTTGCAGTAACTCACTGGGTTTAAAGCAATGGAAAGACACATGAAAGATCCTAGTCAAGACCTATAGAAAAAAAAAATATCCAAGAGGTGGGCGTGGCTTATGCATCATGTCAGGCAGAAAATTGTGGAATTCCTTAAATTTCATCCTTAGCACCAGTGAGGCACCTCATGAGGTCCCTATGCTAAAGGCATCCTCCCCTCTCCAGAGAGTGCTACTGCTGCGGTTGGTGAGACATATCGTGTTTGTTTCCTGTTTTGACTGCTTAGCTACTTTCTGTTTTGCTGTTCAGGCTCTCTCCATCTGGAGACTTTTTTGACCTTTTCTTCTTCCTCTCCTCTCTCCTGCTAACTGTCTTAGATGTTCAGTTATCCCTCTGCCTCCTTTAGTGATAATGTTATGTGTAATAAGTGTAGTATTTTTGTAGCTTTGGAGGGTAGTGTGTTAGAGTCCCCACTTTGAGCTGTCAAACATCCAAGACTAAGAGTAAGCCCACTTGTTAACTGCCCATTGCGACAAAGATCAGGGACACATCCAAGTAGCGGTCCTCTAACAGTGCCTGAGCTGCCACATGATTTGGTGAATGTATGCAGACAGTGCAACTGTGCATCTCTGCCCTCTGGTCACCAATAACTCTTCCGCGTTTCTAACCAGAGCGCCTGGAATCGAAAAAGAGACTGGTAGCCAATGAAGAGCTTTTAGAATCGGAGCAATATGAGCCCTTCTGTTTGTACGACTCAGTAACCTTGCCGCAGAGTTCTGAACCTGCTGAAGACATGACAATCCTTTTTATATAGACATGAGAATAGACTGTTATAGTGGTCTAGATGGAAAGACACAAAGGCTTGGATAATAATTTTAAGATCATCTCTGGACACAATTGTTCTAAGTTTAGATTTTCCTCAATTGAAAAAAAACAGTTCCTTGTCAGCAGTTTTGAGTGGTGCTCTAAGGACAATGCTTTGTCAAAAATAATGCCTAGGTTTCTAAGGCTTGGTTTAGCAGACAAACTAAAGTTGCCTAGATAGTAGTGTGTGATGTATTGTGACGAAAGTCTGTACTGAAACTGTAATTTCCCTCTGGGATTATAAAAGTATGTCTGATTCTCATTCTGATACTGGTGGATACCTGGAATAGCGTTATCAAGGGCAATCATCAGCAAACCTGTTTTATCTGAGTTTAGTTGCAGGGAATTTGCACCAAGCCATTGTTGGGTGGGGGTGGCGTGGGGGTATTGTTTATGAATCAGCCCTCAACATCTTTGGCCATACACGGTCAGGCAGCAGCTCTATCACTTAAACATGAAAGGTACAGTGGCTCTCACCAGAAGAAGCCGCCTCAAGCCGGAGGAACAGTTTTAGATCAAACACAACTTTAGGCCCCGTCCACACGAAGTCAAACCCTGGCCAAAACGCCCAGATTTTTCACCAAACCAGCCTCTCATCCACACGAAGCCGGCGTTTCGGGGGTCTGTAAACGATCTTTTTTTTATTAAGCCTTCAGAGTGGGAAGATTTTGAAACGCCGTTTTCGCGGTTCCATCTTTAAGCTCTAACCGCATTCTTTTCTTACACGCATGCATCATAGCGTTGCCTCTAAACACGCATGCGCGACACAGTATCACAACAACAATGGCGCCGTACTGTGTTGAATGGTTGCTGCTCATGCTGCTCACCCTGCTGTCGGGCTTACAACAGAATCTTCTTCTTCTGGAATATTTCCAGGAAGAACAGAGCAATATAGACGACATAGTTCAGCACCTGAATTTGACTGAACCACGAAAATGGACCCGCAGGGCAACCATGTATAAATATTACTGTGCATGCCCAACATTTCGTTGCCTGTTTTCGCTTATTTTTGCTTTGGCACCACAGCGCCACTTACAGGCCTGGCATACATTTTGCAGCGTTTTCATGCATTCGTGTTGTCGATCACATTTATTTTACGTCTCCGTCTTTACGACAAACGTTCTGGAAAATATTAGCGTTACGTGTTCGTTTTGACTTCGTGTCGGGGCCTTAGATTGCCCTCAGATCCAAAAGCCTGAGGAGTCAGTCATAGCTTGTAAGCGCTCTGATGGAGCAAAACACTGAGCAGTTATTGTCAAGGGTTTGTTCCTATCTTTGCTAGGTGAATTTATAATTAACAATGGGTATTGTGAGAAGTTCTGAATTTGACTGACGTGACTATATGACACGTCCACTGCTGCAACAATGCTGCTGTGAACATGAATATAGGAGATCCTAATGAACAACCTTAAGAAAGATTTTGAGCAAAACATTTTCTGGCCCAATTTAAACATGGAGCCTAGGTGGAAGTTCAACTGAAGAAACTGAGTGCTCTTCCATATCCACCTGCGACACAGACCATCAGCTTTGAACCACACCTCCGCGAAAGCCAATTGGCATCCAAAGTTCATTTTAAAAGGCCTCAGATTCACACTGTCTACTCCTGTGCTCAGGCGGTGGATGCGCTGTGACTTCATTCAGGTGACACCATTTCAACCCCCCTCCAACCCCTCCTCCACCATCGTAGCTAAAGCTTTATCAGAGTGTCATTCCTCCCAGACTCTTACTGTGTTCTCTGTCTCATCTCAACCGGTCCAGCAGAAGACCGCCATGTTGAGGTTCCTTCCCAAGGGGGAGTTTTTCCTCTCCACTTTCGCTTCATGCTTGCTCATCATGGATAGGTTCTCTCAACCTGTGTTATCCAACTGGGCTTCGTTCTTCCGGGTCCCTCCACTGGATCTCCCCATAAAGCTCAGCAGACCGTCTCACTAACCAGCAGTGTACAGACTGACCAACTTCATCTATCTCCACTCCACCACCAGTTTCAGGCCTGGGGGGTAACAGACCTATTCTTTACTCCTGTTCATACATATCTATCAAAATTAAGTGTTATGTTCCCTTCCAAGGTCTGAGCGCCAAAGACAAGTAATTGTATCAATAAATTCCTCCTAATTGTCTTTTCTCTTCGTGTGAGTTTTTCAGATTGAAATGCCACACAAGTAGAAATCACACAAGTAAATATCTATAAATGGGATCAGGTATGGAAAGCCAAATGTGCATGTGGCACATTTGGCTTTCCATACCTGCTCCATTAATTAAAAATGTACAATCTTTTTGGAGAAACACTGGTCTGATTCGGAGAGACTGCATCCATCCCACTTTTGATGGTGCAGCACCTCTTTCGATCTCAGTATCTTAGCTGTTCCTAGGACTGCGCTCTTCTGGACAGAGACCTCTGATGTTTTACCTGGAATCTGCTGTAGCCACTCTCCCAGTTTGGGGGTCACAGCCCCCAGTGCTCCAATTACCACTGGCATATATGAAGGCTGGTTTTATATTTATATATATATATATATATGCTCCCAATCGCTAGAGTTATTGAACAGCATGGGATTAACTTCCATTGTTATGTTGATGATACCTAGCTATATCTGTCTATAAATCCAGATCAAATAAATCCATTACATAGATTACAGGCATGTCTTGAAGACATAAAAACCTGGTTGACTCTTAAGTTTCTGCTCCTGAATGTAGAAAAACTGAAGTTATAGTCTTTGGACCAGAATCTTTGAACAACAAGCTGATTAGTCAGTCACTTCATTTAGATGGGATTAAATTGTTCTCAAATAATAAAGTAAAACATATTTTTGATGCTTAGGACCCGTCATTTAAATCCCATATGAAAGAGGTTTGAAGAATGTCTGTCTTGCATCTGTGGAATATTGCAAAAAATTACAAATCACCTGTCCAGGGGTGATGCTGAGAAATTAGTCCATGTATTGGTTACTTCAAATCTTGACTATTGTGATTCTTTACTATCAGGAAGTCCACAAACTGTAGTTAAAAGTCTTCAGCTGATCCAAAATGCTGCATACAGAGTTCTGATGAAAATTACAGAGAGATCATATCTCTCCTATCCTGGCTTCTCTTCTTTGGCTGTTAAATCAAGAATGGAATTTAAAATTCTCCTCACATATGAAGCCCTAAATAACCAAGCACCATCTGAGAACTGATTGTTCCTTACATACTTAGCTCACAATTTGCAGCTTTACTAGTTGTCCCTAAAATTTCTAAAAGTAGAATGGGAGGCAGATCTTTCAGTTATCAACCTCCTCTCCTGTGGAACCAACTACCAGTTTTAGTCCGTGAGGTAGACGCCCTGTCTACTTTTAAGGCTTGAAAATGTTTAACTTTTTGATAAAGTTTATAGTTAGAGGGGCTCAGGTTATCATGAACTATCAACACTTTTGTTTATAGATGATGGAGTTTGGCCTGTTTGTCAGTGTAGTCCTGTTTCTCTCACTGTGACTTATGTGGGCTCTGTTCGAATTCATGAGATGCGTCCTCTGAAGGCCGTATTCACAGGCCGATTACATCATAGCGCGGCAGAGAATTCAGACCTGTTTGAATTCCATGCCAAAAATCTTCCGGTCTCCTTATTTTCAAGGACTTCGAAGTATCCAGTCCAGGTCGACCGCATCCTTGGAAGACTCAGCCCGTAAATTCAAATACAGCCGTGATGTGCTCTCTTTCATCCTCTGACGTGGGGGTTGGTTTGGAGGTCGTCTGCCTGGCTGTGTGTTTCCTGGACGGGGCCACCTGTGGAGCTGGTTTACAGTTGCCTTTTGTATCTATGCTTCTGTCTTCTTGAACCCCAGTCGGCCTCAGCAGATGGCAGCTCACACTGAGTCTGGTTCTGCTGGAGGTTTCTTCCTGTTAAAAGAGAGCTTTTCCTCTCCACTGTGGCTACAAGCATGCTTGGCGTGAGGGATTTAGTCAATTAATTGATGCAAACAAGTGGTTTTCCTTAGAACACTTTGAATCAATTTGACTGGATGATCTGGATGAATGATCTCAGAAAAGTGCCTTGAGATGAAATGTGTTGTGAATTGGCGCAATAGAATTAAGCTGAATTGAATTGAATGTCCCTTCACCTGTCACCTGTCAGTCCTGCCTTCATATAAGCAAGGAAAGAGAAATCATCCCATTTTAAAAGTAAATTTCATCTCCTGGATTTTTTTCTGACAGGAACAAATATAAAACCACTGACTGATAATTAACACATTTAGAAGCTCTTGAAAGGCTTCACTGACTACAGTAGTCTGACATGCGTCCCAGTACCAGGTTATGTTTCTGTGGCGTTCAGCTCTTTAAATAAAATTTCCATCAGATACTCTCCACAGTTCTTTATGTGTTATGTCTTGAATAAATTAGATTGTTGAATTTATCTGCAATGGTTTCAATTGTTCATCTTTCCTCCTAAATTCTTTACTACTTTGTTGTTTTTTGTGAAAGAAGTGGACTGCAGACCTGGGTTTGCATTGGAGCGGGAAGATTTTAGGACTTTTTTTAGGTTGTGTTGGATTTTTTTTCTACATCCTGTTGCCTTGACTCACATCTTTTATTCTTCATTCAGATTGAGGAACTGCAGTTTGTCAGAGATCAGCTGTGCGTATTTGGCCTCAGCCCTGAAGTCTAACCCCTCCCATCTGACACAAATGGACCTGACCTGGAACAACCTGAAGTCAGATGTTCAGCAGCTGGAAGATCTCGTAAAGAGTCCAGACTACAAACTGGAGACACTGTGAGTAGATTGGTGGAGTGTGTCCTGAGAGCAGTTTCAGAAAATCAAGATAGTAGATTAAACCAGGATAATCCTGGCTTGAAAAAGGCCGGGCATACATTGTATGAGTTTTTGCCCTTTTTTGGCCGATTCTCCAGTCGTGCCTGAATTTTTTGGATCGGGCAGAGTTTCAGCCTCATGATGTATCCTGCGTTGTGTAGTATACAGGGGGTAACGATGGATAATTAGCCTCTCTTGACCACCTCCCGATCAGGAATCGCAAGGTGGGGAATAAATCAAACATGTTTGAAATTCAGTCAGCCCTCCGAAGCTGTTCACGAACAAATCCTGCTGTTGAAGCAGAGCTATGAGAGCTACTGGTTTCCCCCTGGATGGGCATCCCAAGCTGGCAAAAAATACACATCACTATTGATTCAGAACTAATGTGACTTGACCGGAGAGGGTCTGGTCGCCGGATCGTGATTAGATAAGAGAATTTTTCAGACTGGTAGTATCTGTAAAATGTTGTCTATAGTGTCCAAATGACTTGTAGTAATGACAGTGCTTGCACTCGTATTTAATTCTCTTACTTATTTTGGATTTTAAAAAGTCTTATGTGTGGCAAAGGCAGCAGCCCACCATACCCAGACTTTACAGCTGCAAAAGAGGCGGTCCATGTATATAAGCTAAGGATGGCCTAGTTAAGTGGGGATCTAAGGAGGGACAGGTTCTGGAGAAATTACTGAATCAGCCTTCTTTGCCTTCATGTTGCTGAAGATGCTGTCAGCATCAAAGATCATCTGAAGCAATAGAAAGTGTTCAGGTCATTTAATGCATTGATAAATAGATGTAGTTAACAGCAGGCCTAAACATAACCACAGTTATCTGAATGATGAAACCATGAAAGGATCTTCTGTTAACAGAATCACCTTAATGTTTACCAGAGGGACGTTTTACCTTAATGTGTGTGGGTCCAACTGATCAACAGGAGAGTCCTGGATCAAGAACTGATGAAGTACTGTAGTTCTTGGTGATGTTTAGCCTGATTCATGTTACCTGGAATTTTCTTGGTGTTAGTCTTTCTTCTGTGGTCAATCAAGGTGCCAAGCTCGGAACTGAAGGATCCAGTATTCGAGGCGGGCAAACATTTAGATTTCTCTGAAAGTTTTATTGAAAACAGAATTGGTTGGAAGATGTGGGCATCTAAGGCAGGAACCTCCGGATGTGGAGACAGCAGGTTAGTGTGCATGTCTTTCTGGAAGTGGATGATAACGAATGAGTGAGTCACTAACCTGGTCTTATAGTTCAGAGTCCAGAGGTAGAGGAAGGCTCAGGCTGGCTGGCTGCAAACTCAGCACGCCCCACAGCGAGTCCCTGATGTATTGGAGATTAGAGGACAGGCAGGAGATCAGAACCAAGCAGGCGAATGTAGGCCGGATGAACCAGAGGGGGAAGTCTAAACCGATGTCAGAGATGCGGTAGGTTGTCAGAGCCAGGAGGTCAGAGTTCCGGTGAAGTGCCGAAGGAGAAATCCCTCATATACCAGTTTCAGGTGCAGTATACAATAGAGCTGATTAGGGCAGGCAAATTCAGTGGTCAGGAAATGGTACCAGTCATTACACAAGCGGGCATAGATCAGGCAGAAGTCAGAAGACTATCAAGCAAGGCTCAGATGTCCAGAGGCATAACAGGTCAGGATTAGGTAGTTGGAACACAGGTGCGCTACAGTAGGACTCACCAATGCAGTGTTAATTTCGTTAGCTTTTTTAAATTTAGTCTTAGTCACAAGGACAAAAATCAATTTTAGTCTTAGTTTATTTGTTTGTTTATTTATTTGTTTATTTATTTGGATCCCCATTAGCTGTCAGTAATTTGACAGCTACTCTTCCTGGGGTCCCTTTAAAATTATACAGATACACAAAACATATCAAATGATCACATCATAAGAACCATGATACATTTCAAATTATATCACATTACAGTACAATATGTTACAAAAATATTTATATATTAGGGCTATCAACAAAGTGTTTTTTTAAAAGTGTTTTAAATGCACCTCTCGTAGTAGCAGTCGAGATGTTATGAGGCAGTTTGTTCCACAGAGTCACAGCTCTGAACAACACAGACCTGCACACTGCTTCTGTTCTCGGAATGGGTCGAGTCAAATGACCAGAAGCTGCCTGCCTGGTTGAATAATTGTGCTCATTTCTCACATAATGTAACAAACTGAACAAAAGAGAAGGTTTTCCACAAACAATAATATTCCTCAGGAAACACAAAACATTACATTTTAGTCTCTCCTCTACTCTGAGCCACGACAGACGCACATGCAGCTCAGCAGAGCTCTGAGTCCACACACAGGGCAGTCCCAGTGCCAGCCTGGCTGCTCTGTTCTGTGCGGTTTGTAATTTAGCCAGATGTTTCTGAGCTGCACCTGACCACACCACAGAGCAGTAGTCCAGGTGAGACAGCACTAACGATTTAACCACCAAAATTCTAGAGGCTGAGGTCATGAAAGATCTAAATCTTTTAATACAAGACATATTTCTTCCCATATTTTTCACCACCATATCTATATGTTTTTCCCAGGATAGCTGCTCATCAAATGTTACTCCAAGTAGTTTCACCTCTTGAACCTGTTCTATGTCCATATCCTTTAGCACAATATCAAGTTTATCATCACATTTTTTATGCCTAGCTTTAAATAACATACACTTTGTCTTTGAAACATTCAAGGTTAGTCTGTTCTCATTAATCCAGGCAAGAAGCACTTGCAAATCCAACTGCAGTGATTCTTTTAACTCTGATATCTTTGTTGCTGCAAAGTAAAGTGTAGAATCATCTGCATAAAGAGTTATGTTGCACCTGTTTAGGACAAATGGCATGTCATAAAAAAAAATTGAGAAAAGCAATGGTCCTAGGCAACTGCCTTGTGGTACACCACACTGCATTTGTTGAGGTGATGAGAAGCTTCCATTAAAAAACACACATTGTGATCTAGATGTTAAATAGTTTTGTATCCATTTCAGAGGAGTGGCACCAAATCTGTATGCCGATAACTTTTCAAGTAACATTTGATGATGCACTAAATCAAATGCAGCACTAAAATCCAATAACACTGCACCAACTATCAGTTTTTTGTCTATACTAGACAACCAATTCTCCGTCATTTCTGTAAGGGCTGTACATGTCGAGTGATTTTCCCTATATGCATGCTGTGATTCAAAAATCAATTTGTTACAGTTTAAATACGTTGAAATCTGTCCAAAAACAACCTTTTCCAGCAATTTACTAAGTATAGGCAGAATACTAATGGGCCTACTATTGACTGCAGAGAGGCTAACATTGGTAGTTTTTGAAAGAGGAAGTATTTTAGCAGATTTCCACATTTGAGGGAAGACCCCTTCTGTCAAGCTTAGATTAAACAAATGGCAGACTGGTGAAGCTATCATACTTGCAGCCATTTTCAGTAATCTGCCATCAATCTCATCCATTCCTGATGGTTTGTTTTCATGTAAGCTTAGAAGCAAACTTTTAACTTTATCTGTGCTTAATAATTTAAATGTGAAATGACAGTTTTTATTCTTAACAATCAAATCATTGATTATTTGAGATGAAGTGCCCAGATTGTTGTAACACTTTGCATCATTCATTAACTTATATATTTTATCATAATAATATTTACCAAAATGGTCTGCAATATCTTTACCTTTTGTTAAAAAAAGTCCATTCACTTCTAAAAATGCTGGTGTCTTAATTTTGCTTCTGCCCATTAACTCATTCAAGGTATTCCACAGTTGTTTACCATCATTTTTCTTTTGATCTATCGACTTTCTATAATAATCCCTTTTTTTCTTTCTATTGAGCATAGTCACTTTATTTCTCTCTTTACAATAAGCTTTCCATTTCACAGGAAATGCCACTTTGCCTAAAACACAGGCTTCTTTTTTCAGGGAGTCTCTATGTGCCATGCTCTGTCTAAGCTCAGCATCAATCCATGGGGCTTTGTTTGCTCTTACTGTAAACTTTTTAAGTGGTGCATGCTTATCTACTACTGAGAGAAACAAATCACTGAAAAATTTAACGGCCATATCCACATCTTTTGTACATAGCACAAGGCTCCAATCTATATCCTCCAAATCACTGATGAATTCCTCCACCTTAAAATTTTTATAACTTCTTCTAAGTATTATTTTTGGCCCACTTTTTGGCACTTTACCTTTTCTGGCTAAAGCCACTATATTGTGATCTGAAAAACCAACTGGAACAGAAACTACCTGAGAGCAACTAGAGCTATGGTTTGTGAATATGTGATCAATGCATGTTGAGGACATATGCCCAGATTCATTACAGAATATTCTAGTTGGTTGTTTGACAAGCTGTTTAAGATTACAGGTTCTTAATGTGCTTTTTAGCTTTTTCTTAAGATGACAAGTTTTTGAGAGCCAGTCAATATTACAATCTGCCAACACATACATCTCATAACCCAAATTAGACATGTTTGAATGAATAGCGCACATTTCATCAACATACAGTGCACTCGAATTTGGCGGCCTATAGATGCATCCAACAATAATTGGTCGACAAAAAGGAATATGTAATTCTAAGCATAAACATTCAACCGTAGGAACCATTAGGTCCATCCTAATCTTAACAGGGATTTGGCTTTTTATGTAAAAAGCAACTCCACCTCCGAAGAGATTCCGATCACGTCTATAAATATCATAGTCAGATATAGCCACACAATTATCAACAATTGTCTGATCCAAATGGATCTCCGATACAGCCATAATATGTATTTCTTCCTTATGAACATAACTGTATAATTCATGTACTTTGTTTCTTAAGCTCCTTACATTAATATGAGCAATTCTCACACCTTTTTTAGGTAGATTTAGATCCATGAGTTTGTTTGAGGTACATTATAGCATATTTAACAATGTGATGCCATCATATTGCATGTTTCCACCTTCACTCCCTGCTTTTGGGTTTAACAATCAAGCAATCATAACTGATGACTGCATAGTCACCTCTCGCTCTTGCCTCTCTTAGAGCAGGTAACAACTCTGCTCTCTTCTTCCTCACTCTCTCTGAAAAGTCCTCATTAATGTATATGGAGGAGTTTTTCAGCTGGGCTCTTGCTCGCGCCATGATCAGCTGTTTGTCTTTAAAGCGCAGCAGATTTACCACTATGGATCTTTGCACCCCTGAACCTTCCATTTCTGTGAGCACGCTCAATCTCTACTGGGGCCTCCATTTTCAGTTGTTCAGTGAATAACTTTTTGACTTTGATTTCAGTGTCCTCCCAGGTCTCTTCAGGCTTATCTGGACCCAGTCCTGTGATCACAATGTTGTTTCTCCTAGACTGATTCTCCAAGTAGTCTATTTTTTCATCACAGGCCTTGACAGACATTTCAGACTTAAAGCTCTTCAGCTCCTTGTTCACTACTTCCAAATCAGTCTTTTGAATTTGTGTTTGCTTTTTTACGTCATCAATGTCTTTCTGTGAGTAGTTTAAACTCACTTTAATTTCCTGCACCTCTCCCACAAGTGAATCCACCCTTTTGTTCACAGAGTCCAGGATCATTTGACAAAAGCCACTGAAGGCCTTCTCCTGCCTCTTCAACAGCTCCTCATAATGATCCTTTTGTTGCTCCAGCATAAGCTTAACTGCCTCCATTGTCACATATTCAGCTTCCTCTGTGTTGCTTACTTTGTTTCCACCCTTATTGCGGGTAGTGGTCATTCTGTAGCCTCCTTAGGAAGAAAATAAACTCACAGTAGCAGTAGCACCAGTAGCATATAGCTCCTCCACAGCTCAGCTCAGGGTAGCAGCAGCAAACAGCTTCTCCACAGCTCAACTCAGGGTAGCAGTCAGTTCATGAAAAAAAATGAACTGTCATATTTAGTTATTGCCTTCCCGATTTAGTTTTAGTCTTAGTCTAAATGACAAAAATCAATTTTAGTCTTAGTCAAATTTTAGTCATTTTAGTCAACACTGTAAATAATAAAACTTCTCCACACAAAACTTCTCTTTTTCTTTATTTTATTTATATAACACTGTGCAGAATAGAACTTCACACACTGATTCTCTTTTTAACATATACCACACTGCACACAGTGAACTTTTTGTCAGCTTGTTTCATCATATCCACAAAGTCTTTATCCTCAATGGTCCTTGCAGGCAGGCCAGAACGCCCAATCCACTTTGCCATTCAGTTCTCCAGGGCTTTCTGCTCTTTGGCGTCAGGTTTGCATGGTGGGGTGCTCCCTACATCTCTGCAACAGACTTCCCTTCCTTTCCCAACCTCTGGGCAGAGCTAAATAGTTGTGTGAAATGAGTGATTAGAACAGGCGTTAGTGCTGAGATCATGACGCAAGGTGATGAAGATGTGCATATTATCTGTTTAATGCCAAAAACATGGTTTTGATGGTGCAGCAAATATGGGCTTTTCCAAGATGTTCAGTATCTCCTGCTGTACAGAGGAACACATCACTAGCAAAACATCTAAGACCAACACAGATTATCTTTGTAACAGTGGAGATTTGGCTCTATTTGGTGCTTTGCTGAATTTGGGACCCGGCAGTCTGTACAGGTAGTAAAAGTCCTCGGGTTGGACGGGTCCAAAAAAAATCTTTCCTATTAGAAAACCCTTTTCAGCATGGGTGCTTCTTCATCTACTATATGATTAAACAATGGACAAGCCACTATTTGGAGCTGCTTTAATGGCCTGACTATTGAAATCATCTGTGCTTCCTGATCGGCCATTTCTATGATCTCAATACATGCATTCACTTATTAAAGGCCTTTCTGTCAAACTTAGAGCAACAGCATTCTTCAAAAACAACAGGGAACATTAACAATGGCCACAATGATGATTATAGAGTTAGTAATAATAGGGGCCAGTGGTTTTCAGTCCTACTCCTCTGGACCTGCTGTCCTTTGACTGCATTACCTGCTCAGCAACCATCAGTTTCTGTAGAGCCTGGTTAATCACCCAATGATTCAGATCAGGTGTGTCGAAGCAGAGAAATGGTTAAAACATGCAGGGCTGGGATTCCTGAGGCTTGGGATTGAAAGCCACTGGTAGATGCTACTGTAATAATTTTAAAATAATCCCAGTTCATGGATGAAGGTTAATACAAATCAATTGTATTTGAATGTAGGCTGATAGAAATTATGAAAACAGATTAAGACAAAACATGAAATGTGGAAAATCCCAGCTTAAGCTGCTGTCTTGTTCTTATTAAACAGCCCAGAAAATTAAATGGTGCTATATAACTAACTAACCTAAACTGAAGTGAAATGAATGCATTCCAGCTGCCAGCCTTGTCATTAGTCTCATCCAGATGTGTTCAGGGACAGCCTCCATGTTTATTAGTCTGCTGATTATTCAGAAACAGATGAGATGTTGATCAGCAGCCAGTTTCTGTGTCTAAATGGAGCAGCAGCTAACATGTAGCAGCAGTAATGAAGCCTTCAGGACTCTCAGCAGGTGGTTTCCACTCTGAACAGGACTGAAGTCCCTGCTGCTCTTTATCCTGGATGTGCTGCATCACTGACTGACAGCTGATGGAGAGAGAGAGGCTGGAAACACTCAATGATCTCCTCTGTTCATCCTTCTTCTCTCTGCAGGTGGTGGGAGGACATGACCATCGTTGTGGGGAAGAGAAGCTGATCTATGTCCTGAAGATCTACAAAGGAGTCTGAATTTATAGTCTGAATGGATCCTGTTAATATATACCGAGTTCAGATATTTTAAGACTGTTTAAGACTATGGAAGCAAAATGTGTCAGATTTCATTTCTATTTAAGTTTGAGTGTTTGTGCTTAGATTTTCAGAGTTAAAATATATATCCAATAAATTCAGATTTCAACTTTCCATTTATTTTCAACTTAAGATAACAAAAATCCCTTCATTGTTTCAAAGCGAGAATATTTTCAATAGCTATAGATTTCAGTTTATAACTTGGATAAAAGCGTCAACCTTTGAAATTTAAATGCAATATTTTCAGTGCACTGTGACAAAACTCATTTCTCTGTGTCAGTGTCTGACATGCAGTGTAAGAACAGCAAGGTCACCTCTGTCACCGACTTCAGCAGAAGACGCCAAAGCAGTTAGATGGACTTAATAATGTTACATGTATTAGTTTGTCTGTAAAAACATCCCTGTTGTCTGTAAGACGATGGCTGAAAATGAAGGAAGATTATTTTTTGTCCCTAATTTTCATATTTTTTTAATATTGCCATGTTTTAATTTTGCATGAGGTCAACTGTTGTTTTGGATCTGTGTGGTTGCTATGCTGCATGTCATTTTGTTTTTATGAGTATATCGTTGATGCTAGGAGCACGGCCCCCCTCACCCAACGTGGACAAAGATGGTCGGCGCAGGTGTTTCTGATCAGCTGGTGTGGCCTGAAAGGCTGATGGAGAGATGATGATGGAGAGACAGACCGTGGGGCCCATGGTGACATGGGCCCCAGTGGGTGCAAGGCGAGGGCAGAAGATGGAGGCCACGCCCCCTTTTTATTGGCTGTGGTGTTCTACCAGAGCAGAACCCTAATCTTATTTTTTTATACTGCAGGTTTTAGCCATTGGAAACTGTTCTACTGCCTTTCTTTTAATAAATTAACCGAAAAATCTGACCAGCTTTTTGTAATGAGCTGCTGCCCCATTTCCCAGTTTAACCAGGTGGCCTTGTAGGTTGTTGACCATTTGGTTTGCTTGAAAATAGATAAATCAGCACCGATTGGCGGTCACAGACACCATGACAAATACAATTGAAATAGGAGCATGTTTTATTGTGAATTAACATTGAAATTTACGTCTGGACACAGGGCTGCTTAAGGGAACAACATCGGGCTGCAGAGTAATCAATGCCCATATCTCGGTTTCTTTCTTTTGTCTGTTTAGTGATTCACCCAAGAATCAGTTTTGTTGTCCACAGAGAGTGGCAGACAGACCGCTGCTCCTTTAGGAGCTGAAGCTGAAAAAGCTGTCTCCTTTGTTCACAAGATGAATCCCTGGAATTACTTTAGATCTTATTATCTAATGATCGAAACCTTCTGCTGGGATTTTAGTTCATAAAAATAAAAAAAAGGTCCCATGCAAAATCTTACAGATAATTTCACAACAAACAGGCAACCAGTACAGGAAGATAATACTGGAAAACATCAAGCATGAAGCTAGATTTCTTCCCTAACTTCCAGGTCTGGGAAATCTTCCACAGTGATGAAAGATGAACAAAGCTGAGTGCTGACCAGCTTGGTACTGCATGGAGAATATAGTAGCCATCATTCTATCTCTCTAATGGTTGAACTGTAAAATGCCTTGAGATGACATGTGTTGTGAATTTGGCGCTATAAAAATAAACTGAATTGAATTGAATTAATGATCTAGCTATCTAATTATCTATCTATCTACAGGTCCTTCTCAAAATATTAGTAATCTGTCATATTTTACATTAGAACAGGATTTACCTCAAAGTCTACACTCTCATCTTTTCAGGAACTCTTAATTTCTGAGTCCTGCTATCAGCCAGTTTTCATCCTCTGATATCAGTAATGAAAAATGATAAATACTATGTGTTGGAAAACTGTTTGGTGACTGATTTTTATTTCTGTCAGGCTGAAGGACAGAAGTTTGAAAAAGACAGATTATCTTGACATTTAAAATAATACAAAACAGCTTAAAGGAGCTTGTTTATTTATTTATTTATTTTACAATCCTGTAAACAGGATTAAACTGGATGTTACAACATTGACATGATAATAGGAGCTGTTTTTAGCCAGAAATCAATCAGGAGTGCAGTGAAAATGGTCCCATCCTCCATGTCCGCCAGAATTTCATAGAACACCGCGACAAAGAACGTCTGGAAGTCAGTCAGAGCTTCACATCCCTGGAACATCAGTCTGTTTAGCAACAGCTAGTGGTGACAACTTCTTCTGCGGGGGAATGCTACAGGCTGCTTTCCTGCACATGCTGCCACCATCTGGTGAATTCCGGTACTGCACATTTTACTCAGATCAGCTCCGAGTGAGATCCAGGGCTCTAGGGGAAACAGCCGGGGCTGTAGCCCAAGTAGCTGCCCCCTAGATCCGCCCCTGGGTGCCATCAAGAGCTAGGGTGGAAAAACATAGGCAGACGATTTATAACAATCCAGACCTTCTAGAGGAGAACAGAAAAAAGGAAAGGTAGTTTCCACCTCTCTTCCCTCTGCCTCGTCTCTCCTTCTATTCTCCTTTTTCATGCTCACACTGTACGAATACAGTATGGAGTATGCTGACGAATTTTCTGTCTCTGAAATGTTCCTATCGGTCTCCGTCAGTCACGTGACATTTGTTGCTAAGACGCCATTTTTGGCGTAAAGGCGTAGTGTAAACAACCACAGTATAGCTAAACGAAGGACTAAAGGATTGAGTTTGTCTCTCTGACTATATGGAAAAAAGTAAGCAGAATGTGAAATTACCGTAGGCTACGGTGTCGTGCCAAGGTAGTTATCCCTGCGAAAATTTGTATCCCCTCGTCGGGCGCGCGCACGGAGTAGAAAGAACAACCCGAGTTAACTCCGCTTCGATTCCAAAGTGCAGAACTTGAAATTTGAAAGGTTTTACGTACATGAGAGTTGAGCTTTACTGTTTTATTCTTTACTTCACATGTTATAGCAGAATATCGCCAGTGATATTGATCTAAAACTAATAATAAAACACAAACGTTGGCTTGAAAGCTGGTCGCTGACAGCAGTGTCTACTCCTCCCTCTGAAAGCAAACAGATCCTTGTTCTTTTCCACACGTTCATTAAAAAAATCTCTCATTGTTTCACAGTGTCCAAATGTTCTCATCCCATTGAAAACTGTTGTAAACCGTATACTTGCAATAAAAATGAAATAGAAAATGGAGTGCACGTGTAATCATTAAAAACTACTGTATATGCAGAAGGAAATAATTTTTTCCTCGTTGAAATTTGGTACTTAAATCTATATTTGTGTTTATAGTAACTTGCAATTCATCTATGTTGTACTATCCTTAATAAACAGTTTGTGTTCTAACATCAGCCATTTTATTTCATCCCATTTTGCCAGAACTGGCAATATGGGATGAAATAAAACCTGCTGTAATCTGTTCCCCCTGTCTAAATCAGACAAAAAAGGCCCCAGCTTTTTCATTTTTGGCATCATAAAAGATGCTTATAAGCCAAAAATGACAAATCTGGGACCTTTTTTGCCTGATTTAGACAGGGGGAACAGATTATAGCAGGTGGTCTGCTATAATCTGTCCCCCCCTTGTAACTTTAAGAAATAAAGGTCAATCAACTCCAAAGTTTCAGGGGTTAGTTGTCATCATAAAAGATACTTATAAGCCAAAAATTAAAAAGCTGGGACCTTTTTTGTCTGATTTATACAGGGGGAACAGATTATAGCAGGTGGCCTGCTATAATTTGTTCCCCCCTTATAACTTTAAGAAATAAAGGTCAATCTACTCCAAAGTTTCAGGGGTTAGTTGTCATCATAAAAGATGTTTATAAGCCAAAAATGAAAAAGCTGGGGCCTTTTTTGCCTAATTTAGACAGGGGGAACAGATTACAGCAGGTTTTATTTTATCCCATATTGCCAGTTCTGGCATATGGTCTTTAATGATTACACGTGCACTCCATTTTCTATTTCATTTTTATTGCAAGTATACGGTTTACAACAGTTTTCAATGGGATGAGAACATTTGGACACTGTGAAACAATGAGAGATTTTTTTAATGAACATGTGGAAAAGAACAAGGATCTTGTTTGCTTTCAGAGGGAGGAGTAGACACTGCTGTCAGCGACCAGCTTTCAAGCCAACGTTTGTGTTTTATTATTAGTTTTAGATCAATATCACTGGCGATATTCTGCTATAACATGTGAAGTAAAGAATAAAACAGTAAAGCTCAACTTTCATGCACGTAAAACCTTTCAAATTTCAAGTTCTGCACGTTGGAATTGAAGTGGAGTTAACTCGGGTTGTTCTTCCTACTCCGTGCGCGATCCCGACGAGGGGATACAAATTTTCGCAGGGATAACTACCTTGGCAAGACACCGGGACTGGCAGCCTCTCACACAACACGATCGTGTCATTTCTGGTAAATAATTGTGCCGAAAGAACAGCCGCGTGTGGCTTATCTCGACTTTACGCCTAATATGGTGGTTTTCCCACGATGCACCGCGCCCGAGGTAAACAATTGACGTCACCTGGCGCAGACCGATTGATATTTTAACAGGTATTAGAAGCACAAAGAAAAAGGGTTGTTAAAGGCAGCTGCAGATCTGACACCCAGGCAGCTGCAGAAACAGCGAAAAACATGGAGGGAAAATTCTAACCATTAAAATAAAAAGAAACAAACTTTTCAAAATGTACTAAATGAAACCCCTCCCTTTAATGACGGTGTGAACGAAATCAACCCTCAGCCTCAAACACAACCTTGTAAAAGGATCATCCAACCAAAGAACATAAACTCTAATCGGCAACATCAACAGCAAAGCAGAATAAAACAACTGAATTAGGAGAAAAACTAAGGAAGGCACAAAAATTTTCAGTGACAAAAACAAAGGAACTGGATTGTCTGAAGAAAAAACTAAAACCAATGAAGGAACACAGGTCCACAACAGCCAGATGCATGTCTCGCTCCGCCTAGCTCCACTCACATACATCTGGGAACCCACCATAGGAATTGCCTTTACTGAAGGCTGGGCCTTATCAAAACTCCTTGCATATGATTGGATAAGCCACTTGTCTGTCATCTTTATCGACGTGCTATTTCAACCACTCACACCGAAGCTAACCCGTGACGCTGTGAGAGCTACGCAGGAAAAAAACAGAACAGCCCACATCTTGGATATAGCAACAGTGGAATCAGCGCAATGTTGGTAAATGATCAATGTCGTTTGTGCCATGAAAATGTGCGGATAAAAGGCAACATTGTGCACAGCAGACTTATTTTTATTCCACTACGTCACATCCAGGAAACACCCGCCCTGCGTCCTGATTGGCCAGACCATAAATTTGGTTGGGGAAATCACTTTCAGTGAGCGATGTCCCAGATGTATGTGAGTGGAGCTAGGCGGAGCGAGACATGCATCTGGCTGTTGTCATGTTACCACAGCTATACCTTAGGGGTGTAAATAATAATAGTTTTGTATCCATGCATCGATCCAACAGCCGACGATCCGATGCATCAATACGTCCGCAAGAGAAT